ATGTGACTGTTGCTGCGGCGGCTGTTGCTGTTGGGACGAGCCCTTGTTGCTACGGCCCCTGCGGCGGTGGCTGCCGTACGGCACCTTGACTGTAATGCCGCGGAAAACCAATGCGGCGCGCTTCTCGCCGCCAGAAATGCCGCCGCTAAAACCGCCAAAACCGCCGCCAGCGCCAGTGGCGCCGTTATGGCCCAATGCGGCGACAAAAAGCTCCGTCGCGCGACGAGCGACTGGCAGCATTGGCGGCGCCTGCGTCGGCGGCGGCAGGATGCCCAAACCGCGGGACGTCGCGGCGCCGGCGTCATCGGCGGCGACAGCGCTCATTGGGTCCGGCGGCGGGCAGTTGACGACGAAAGCGTCGCCGGCCGGCGGCGGACCCGGCGACGGCGCGCGCGACGTCGGTCGTGGCGGCGCGGCGGCGCCGAGAGCGCTAACGCCGCGCTCGGGGGTGCATGGAGGCGTTCGAATGCCTTCCTCATCGGCGTTGCTGGCACTGCCGCTGTCACGAGTAACCCCTTGCGGCGGCCCGTCAGCGGCGGTGGCGCCGCCACCAATGCCGCCTCCGCTGGCGATGGTGCCGTACGCTTTGGACGCCGCCGCCTGCGACGCCGCCAGCGCCATAGCCGCCTCTGCTGCGGTACGAAGCAACAGCGCTTCCGTCTCTCCGTCGGCGCCGGCGTCGCCACCGTAGTTGCCGTCAACGCCGTCGGGGCCGCCGCTGCCGTACTTTGACAGGGAGCTGCCGTACCGGCCCCAAACCGCTGAGAAGTAATGCCTGTACGACAGTAGACCGATTGCCATGGCGGTTGCAAGTACGGTAACCACCAGTAACGGTAGAGCTGCGAGCATTGGAGGAGAGGACACAGGTATGTTGGAAAAGTAAAAACAAAGCACAACACGGCGTGCCGTACGCTTGCATGTGAGAAGTCCTCAGGCTGCGGGTAATGCTTCGCATGTCTTTATGCAGGACTCTGCTGCCGATATTCTTTATTCGTCGTAGTAACGCACACCCCTATGTACACTCACAACTGCTGACCCGCGAAACCTAACACCTCCTCCAACCCAGTTCCCATCGCACCGCCCTCCCAAACCGGCCATCACCTCGCCGCACCCACCTGCCAGTAGCGGCACCCAGTCTTGCACCGGCGGCGGCGGAGGCGGCTCCTGACCCAGCGACGCCGCCACCGCGGCGGCGGCCACACTCGTACGACACTCATTGGGGCTGCACGTCATGGGTACTTCAAACGGCACTCCGTCCACGCTCAGCTTGCAATTGGGCCCAATGCCGCCGCCGCCAGCGGCGTCGCCGCCAGCGGCGGCGGCGGCGGCGCCTCCGCCGCCTTCGCAATCGAGACCAAAGGCGGCTGCATTGTTCCCCAGAAGATCCTTCAGTTGTTTGTTGCAGGCGGCTGACGTTGCGGGTCGTTCCGGAGATCCGGGCTGGGGGCTGGCGGGGCAACCGCAGCGCATGCCGCCGTCACACCTGTACGAATGTTCGTCAAAAGTAAAGATGCCAAAAAGCGGTTGATTTTGTACGGTTTTACGACGCAAAGCGACCCACATCAGCACCGCAGCACAAGGAAGGAATGAAAGGAACGAAGACGCACCTGTACTTCCGGGATTCGCCAACGAAATGGCAACCGTATCCAATACACTCCAGCACTCCATTTTGGAACGCCGGGCCGCCCTGCATCATTACTATGCAGTACGGCGACGTTATTGTGAGGTTACTGGAGGCGCCGGTGCCGTCGATCCGCGCCTTCAAACCGCCGCTGCCGCCACCGTTAGGGTTGTTGCCGTTGCCGCTCGCCGTACTGCCGTTGCCACCACCGTTGGTCTTGTTAGGCGATTTGAAGCCGGTGATGTTGAGGGTTCGAGCGAGGGACTTGTAGGCTGGGAGGAGGGGCTCGATGGGAACGGTACTGCAGTAGGCCTGAGGCAGGGTGTGAGAGAGGGAGGGGGAGGCAGGGGTGGAGGCAGGGCGTCTGAGAGGGAGGCAGGGAGGGAGGCATGGGGTTTTAAGGTCCAACGACTTCAGTTTCTTCTCCATTGACGCCCCCCCTCGCCCTGCTACACCCCTCACCTCCACAGCCACCAGGAATCGCGCCATGGACTTGGCCACCCTGCAGCTGTATCCCTTGTACAGCGTGTGGTTGGTGTAGGCCAGGGAGGACACGCAGGTGGACTGGGGGAGGGCCAGGAGCCAGGAGAGGCAGGGGAGGGTTTCTTTTTTAAAGTCAGGCTTTATGTAAATTGAGTATATTGCTGATTTTAATGTGACAGGTCGGGCTTAATGACAGGACATGCTTGTTCGCCGGAACGAAGGGGAGACAGCAAGGGGAACCGTGGCGTTACGTGGCTGCTTCAGTGATCTAGCGAATGAGCTAGGGGAGCGCTCCCGTACGTCCTCCCGCCGCCCGTGTACCGCCGCAATAATCCCCACCGTCAGCGCCGGGACTGACCTGCGGGTCGTTGGGGATGAGGGAGGTGCACGCCAGGGGGTTGTCCGCACCGCACCGGCTGCAGCCGGGGCCGCTCCAACCTGGGAGCGAGGAGGTTGAGCGAGGAGGAGGAGGAGGGAAGGACGGAAGGATTGTAAATAATGAGCGTGGAGGGGAGGGCCAAGGAGAGCCAGAGATTGAGGAGAGCATATGTGCACGACAAGCGGATGTGATCCGCCGCCAGCATTCCTCTCTCGGCCCACCGCCCCTACGCGCCAACGTACCTGGTGTGCACTTGCACGTCCCACCGCCGCCACCGCCGCCGCCGGCGTCAGCACCGCCAGCGCCGCCACCAGCGGCCGCGTCAGCACCGCCGCTGCCGTCGACGCCACTGCCCATGCCGCGCATCAGCTCCGACGCCGGGCACTGCGCGACGGCGCTACGTCCTGTCGTACGCCCCACCGCATCCCTGACGTCGCCGCTGCCGCCGCCGCCGCCCCCCGCGGCGACGCCGCCGCCACTCGTCAGCGGCAGCATGCTATTGTCAGCCGCCGTCGCCACGATTAGCAGGGAGGTCGTTGCCACCAAGGTCGCCACCGTTAGCGCCGTTAGGAAGCAGTTATTACTTCGGCTGCTGCTAGGTTTTAGACCCATGGGTCTGCGTGTGCTACAGCCCTGCGCCTTTTGTTTGGACGGTGATGGCATGAGGACTTGTGTAGGCTGAAGGGCAGCAGGGTAAGGCCGGAATGACGATAGTGATGTGAACTGGTCTAAGCTGGGACCGGGATTACGTGGACTGAGTTGCGGTGACGAAGAATGCGATGGGCGGTGTTTTCAGTTGTGGGATGGAATGTGCTGGGTTGGGCTGGTCTGGATTACAGTTAACGGAGCAGTACGGTACACGAAGAAGGACGGGGAAGACGCAGTACGCCGCACGAAGCTGGATGTGAAGTGATCGGGACGGAAGTGTGAGGCCAGGAATGGGGTAGCTGCCGTTGAAGATGATATACGGGTAGAAGACCGCGATCTGCAAGCGTTGACCGCAAGAGCAGCCCGACGTGGTGCTGTTTAACTTCTTTTTATTACCAGCCGAGCCACCAACTAGGGGCTACTGACGGTGTTGCTTGCTTGCTTGCAGCCGTGAAGACACCAACCCTGGGCTGCGACACAGCACACAGGATACGGGAGCACGTGCTGGTGTGTGCTGGACTTGGAGAGTAACTGCAGCCTATAGAGACCTTCAGAGAAGATGAACTGCACAGGCGGAAAGGAAATTCATCGCAGCCGCAAGGGTTGGCGAATTGGGTGTGAATTACGTGGCCCCACAGCTGTTGTAATGGTTACAGTTAGGTGTTGTGTGTGTGCCCAAAGCAAGGCCTCGCATGATGACGACAGATGATGCCGGTTGGTGATGTGTGTGCCGGTCGGCAAAGGCAAAGAGGAACGTCCTGCTGTAAAGCTATCGTGGCAGTCGTGGCAGTTGAAGAAAGGTACCAAGGATCGACTGCATCTACGAAACGCAACAAATCCATACACTCCAGCGGTTGGCGGTTCGCACCACTCGACGAAACCAGGTTTGAATTTGTTTTCGAGTCCAAGGTGGTCATTCATAACGGGCTTGTAATCCTAGTTGCTAGTCATTCATCCTAACTTACCTCATAAATGCCGGAGTACCCGGTTGCGACGCTTAGTCCGCGGCAGGGAAATAACGCCCCAAAAAGGAGTTTGCCGCCCTTCGCGGCCCCGGCTATCTAGCAGACCCACGGGACAGCTAGAAGAGGTGTAGCTTTGTTTCCTCTTTATTTCCTCCGGCCGTACTATTTCCTACTATTTTCTTCGTCACGTGACGTAACTAGGCATGCCCTACAGCAGCCCTTTACCCCTTTCACATGGAGTGGACGCGAGAGAGGAGCAAACCGGAGCACATGTGCGGCATGACGCCTATGCAGCTGTAGGCACCTGTCAGACGGTGGCTACCTTTCAGCGGTCAAACGAAGTCTGTCAAAAGCGTACGGGCTAGAAGTTATTGCGTGGTAAAGCAGCAGAATTGAAGTAGTGGGTTCAACATGGGCTTTAAAACAGCGAGGGCGCTGGGCAGAAAAGGACTCCGCCCCCAGGAGATGTTGCAGTTGATACTGAAGACACCACAAGGCGGTTGCTGTCACACGGCAGCGTAAGGTAAATGTTGGTACATGGATGCCACCCCGGCACTGGGCGTAATAAAAGCTGCCACTCTCCTTGGCTAGCGCCACATGTGCGGCATGCGCGTACAGAATCACACTCTTGGCGCTCCCAAGCAAAGATACCAAACGGCATTTGCTGGTTGTGTAGACAATTACCAAATCTAGCAACGCTCAACGGTGAGTTGAGCCATAGCGCAACTTAATGCCGCACCTATGCGTCCATAGGAATGTGTTCGCGAAGGGAGACCGTTTTACCTCCAGCATGCGCACCAATGATTCTTCTTTGTTGCTCGTGCGACGACATTGTGTTGTGAACCTGCAATTGCCTGCGTCGGCGTACGAATGTTTCCTCGTCAGCACTTGCCCAAAGCCATCATGCAACCCGGAAAGCAGCTTTCGGCGTTACAGTCCTTTTAAGGGTCACTAAGACGACTGACATTACCATCTGATTTGCATTTCCACTGCGTTGTTCGACATAAATTAGCCAAATGGTTCGTCGCCGGAAACCCCACCGTTAGCCTTTCCTTGCCATTTACTAGAGTCATGGTGACTGCTTAGAAGAAGGTGTTCACTTGCTATAGGACAGCGCAGAACTTAGTGGTATTCATTTGGTGGCTGCGACAAGGGGCTAGCAGCTACTTGCCTTTACTTGGCTAAAAGCTGATCAAGTAGCTATGGCGGCAGCAGCAGCTCTGGACCCGGCGGCTGCTGGGTTCAACAACCCAGCCAATGTTCAAGGCTATAACCAGAGTGCGGAGTTCTTCCTGAGCAATTACCGGCTTGGCAAGACGCTTGGCATCGGTTCCTTTGGAAAGGTGGGAAGCAGGGTTTAGCCTCTCCAAGCCTCACTGTGCCGGAACTGCGACTTTTGCCTAACTGTCTACAAAAACATAGACCGCAAACAGACATGTAACATGCTGTCAGCTTGTCTCTCGTGTGTAATATGCGGGTATAGGGCCTTCCACAAGCCTGCCGGAGAGCTTTTGCCTTATACTGCAATTTGGCATTTGGACCTTTCGCCATACACGGCAACTTACCTTGTCGTGTCCTGAGACTAATACATTTGGCAGTGCTTTTACACCGCGTAACCTGCTGTTGCGATGTTCCACACAGGTCAAGGTGGCTGAGCATGTGCTTACTGGGCATAAGGTCGCCATTAAGATTTTAAACCGGAGAAAGATCCAGCAAATGGAGATGGATGAGAAGGGTAGGGACTGGTACCTTGCGGCACAGGTCTAGCTCTGTACCGTCAGCCGGGCAGTAGGGGTAAACATGAATGCCAGTTCCATTGAGGTGACAGCGGTGCGGCCCTTGCATGGGGCACCGAGGGCCGCTGGGTATTTGCTTGGGTTACAGCCCAAGGGGACGTGCTGGGCAGCTGGCTGGGCTCGGGGCCCTATGATAACGCTCTGCGATGCCCATAAAGCGCTGCATGGGGCCACATTGGGGGGGCTAAGTTCCCTAACCCCTACCCCGCCCCCCCTTGGCCTCCCCAGTTCGTCGTGAGATTAAGATCCTGCGGCTGTTCATGCACCCGCACATCATCCGCCTGTACGAGGTGATTGAGACGCCAACCGACATCTACGTCGTCATGGAGTATGTCAAGGTACGGCAGGGGGGCCTGGCTGGGGTACGGCAGGGGGGCCTGGCCGGGGTACGGCAGGGGGGCCTGGCCGGGGTACGGCAGGGGGGCCTGGCCGGGGTATGGCAGGGGGGGCTGGCTGGGCTACGGCAGGGGGGCCTGGCCGGGGTATGGCAGGGGGGGCTGGCTGGGGTACGGCACGTGGGCCAGCTAACCTGGGTCGAGTATAGGGGTGTGGGTGCGCCCATAATCCAAGTAAACCGAGTTGCGGCCCCTATGGGTAACCCCGCAAGCATTACCCATGCCCTTTCCCCACCACCCCCACCCCCACTAGACCGGCGAGCTGTTCGACTATATCGTTGAGAAGGGTCGGCTGCAGGAGGACGAGGCGCGGCACTTCTTCCAGCAGATCATTTCGGGAGTCGAGTGAGTCGGTTAGGGGGGGTGGCGGATCTGGTTGGGGTTGGGTTGGGTTGGGCTCCTTGGGAGGGAGTCCGGTTGCGTCACATGGTGGGGGCTTTTGTGCTCGGGCTGGCGCGCACGAAGGAAAAGAAGACGGACGAAGGAAAAGAAGAGAAGGAGACATGAGAGTTCCTTAGAAGAATGCTGGGGAGAGCGGCACGCACGCATATGCTCTCGCACGCTGGGGGAACTGATGTGGGTCAAGCCCGCCTGTACCTGTGTGTTAGAAACCTCGCCGCGCGTCAAAACGCACGCTGAAACTGATGTGTCAGTGTGAGAACCTCTTCCTTACCTTCTCCCTTCCCTCCTCCCCGCCCCCCCTCCCCCCCCCCCAGGTACTGCCACCGCAACATGGTGGTCCACCGCGACCTGAAGCCGGAGAACCTGCTGCTGGACGCCAAGATGAACGTCAAGATAGCGGACTTTGGTGGGGCGGGGGAGGAGAGGGAGGAAGGGGGAGGAGGGGGAGGAGGGGGAAAATTAAATATGTGAAACAACGAGTCCCGATCCCATATCCCGACTCATGCAGTGAGCGCATTCGGAGACACTATCCTATAAACACGCATCTCAAATTTCTTACCGAAGCGTTGCTTACCGGAAACCGAGACGACTTGAGGAAGAAGCCGCCTTGCGTGGTAACACTAGGGAGACATGCGCCGGGGAGGAGAGGGAGGGAGGGGGAGGAGAGGGAGGGAGCGTGGGTGGGAGTGGCAGGAGCCAGACCAAGCTGCTAATGGTTAGGGAGAAAGGGAGGGAGGAAGGGGTACAATTAAGCTATATGAAGCCGGGGAGAGAGAACGTACGGGGGCGGCGGGTAGATGTGAGCGCTCGCGGCGCAGGGGTTTAGTAAAACAGACACACTTGTCACCGGTCTATCTCCTCGTCCCCTGCAGGTCTGTCCAACATCATGCGGGATGGTCACTTCCTTAAAACCAGCTGCGGCAGCCCCAACTACGCAGCACCCGAGGTAGGGACGGGGGGGGGGTGCTGGTGTATGACGGGCAGGGACAGAGGGGGATAAAAGAGGCTCATCGGCGACCCCGGGAGTGACTGAGGTAGACGGGACGCGCAGTGATGTGAGAGAGGAGGCGCGCGAGGGTGAATTTCCCCCCTCGCTCCCCCCTTGCTGCCTGGGCCCACCGCTTCCCAGGTCCCGACCTTTCCCTCCTTCATGCTCCACCGCTCCGTTGCCTGTAGCCCCTGTAACACACCCGGACGCACCCCGCTCCGCCCCGCCCTTCACGCGCTGCCCCGCCCCCCGCCCGACCGGTTCGGTATGGTCTTTGGCCCCCCCGCCCCGCCCTCCACGCGCCGCCCCCTCCGCCCCGCCCTTCCCCTCCGCCCCGCCCTGCTGCTAGGTGATCAGCGGCAAGCTGTACGCGGGTCCCGAGGTGGACGTGTGGAGCTGCGGAGTGATCCTGTACGCGCTGCTGTGCGGCTCGCTGCCCTTTGACGACGAGAACATCCCCAACCTGTTCAAGAAGATCAAGGGGGGCATCTACAACCTGCCCTCGCACCTGTCGCCGGGTAGGAGTGGAGTGGGGGGGGAAGAAAGAAGAGGAAGAGGGATCGTGTGTTGGGTGATGGTGTGGCAGGAGTGGCGGAGGAGTACATGTTACACGGTTATAGTTACGGTAGTCTCCTCTCCCATTCACCCGCACCACCGCTTCGCCCACACACCTTCATCCAAACACTTCACCGCTATCTTCCCCACTATCTTCCCAACCACACGCCTCCCCCAGGTGCTCGCGACCTGATCCCCCGCATGCTGCTGGTGGACCCGCTGAAGCGCATCACCATCCCCGAGATCCGGCAGCACCCCTGGTTCAACATGCACCTGCCGCGGTACCTGGCGGTCATGCAGGTGGGGGTGGGGGGTGCGGGTGTGCGGGTGGGGAAAGGAAGGAGAGGTGCATTAACTGGAGGCGAGGGGGGGGTAAGTGCGGAAGGACGTCAGGAGAGGCATGAGGGGTGGTGCAGCACAAAGACCATGGCCATACCTAAGCTCTCCGGTAGTCGGGCTGAGATTCCCGGGCTCCCTGGCTCCATCCTCCCTCACCCTCCCGCACAATACATCTGGCCCCTTCCATGCACATCGTACCTACCAGGCTGAGCCGGTTGTGGGCGTTCCTCGCATCGACGAGGAGATGGTGGAGGAGGTGGTGCGGCTGGGCTTTGCGCGGGAGTCGCTGCTGGAGTCGCTGCGGAGCCGGCAGGCCAACAAGGCGACCGTCACGTACTACCTCATGAGCGATAACAGGTGAGGGGAGGGGGGGGGAACGGAAGGGGAAGGGGGGAACAAAGGGGAAAAGGGAATGAAGGGAAAAGCATTGAAAACACCCGTGTGGGCGAGGAGAGGGAAGGAAGGGAGGGCTAAGGAGAGCAGACGGGAGGCCAGGGCTGCCGTTAGCCTTACCAACTTGGCCGTATCCTTCCCCCGCATGCCCCCTTCTTTTCCTTTACCCTCCCCCGTCTTCGCTGCTGCCTCACTCTCCCCTTCCCTACCTCTCCCCCCTCCCGCACCCAGGCGCAAGATGCCCAGCAGCGGCTACCTGTCAGCCGACATGGCGGAGGGGGCCACCGGGGCGGCCATGGTGGCAGCCGGCATGCACCTGCCGCAGGGTGAGGGAGGGGGGGGGAGGGGAGCGAAGGGAGGGACTGGAGGGGAGGGAGAGAAGTGGAGTGCTGCTGCTGGGAAAGCCATGAATCCTGCAGCAGTGTGTGCCTAGCTTGGAAAAGCGTTGGTGGAGGTGATTACAGTACTGCTTGGCAATCGCATTTTCCGTACTCCCTCCCCTTTTACCACGCAACACCACAACACCCCCCCTAACCCCCACAGCACACACCTTTGGCGGCGGCGTGGGCGTCGGCGGCGGCAGCAGTGCCGTACACGGAGGCGGCGGCGGCCTCTCCTCCGCCGCCTCCGCCACCTCGGCGGCTGGCGGCGGCGGCACCCCGCAGCAGCGGCTGGTGGCTGAGCGGCGCTGGCGGCTGGGGGTGCATGCGCGGGGCCACCCCTCGGCACTCATGGCGGAGCTGTACAGGGTGTTGCAGGTGGGGAGAGGAAAGGAAGGGAAATGAGGCATTGTGAAGTTATGATTGGAAGGAACTGGGAGGGAAAGGACAGGGAGGCGACGAATGTATAGGCAACCAGGCGACGTAACTGGCTCTTGAGCGTTCCTCCTCCCCCTCCTTCCGTGCAGCTCAACCAAGTCGCATGGAAGAAGGTAGGGCCGTACGCCATCAAATGCCGCGCCGCTGTACGGAAGCCCAGCCAAACGGGACTGCGGACCCATGGGTCGGTCGGCGGCTCGGCGGCCGTCGCCACTCGCATGAGTGAGGACCTAGACGACCACATTGACCTCGACGGCGCCGGGTCGCCGCCGCGAACGACACCGACGGGGTCGTCGGTTGCGGCGGCGACCCCTGGGTCTGTAGGGACGGCGGCAGGAGCAGTGGGAAGTGGGAGATCGGGTGAGTCTGCATAGGTGGCGGGGCTGCCTCTTGACTCTTTAGCAATGCGACACTTTCCTGAAATGGAGGACATGGGTGCAAGCTGGCGCTTGGTGGGAGGGCGTGTGTGTAGTTGTCAGCCTGTTGGCGCCCCACCTTTACACCGGTACTGCACTCGAGGTACACACGCCCAAGTGCACCTTGGCCACGAAACCCAAATGCGTATTTGAGCACCGGGAAGCGTCTCCAAGCCCATGCTCCTCTTCTTACCTTATGTTGGGCTTGAGAAGATGAACGCTGAACCCATCACGCTGACCAGGCCACCGTCCCATTCGTTTGCCCCTGTGTGCAGTGAGCGTAGGTGGCAGCCGAAGGGGGCTGAGTGGGACGGGCGGGGGAGCGGGGTTGGACGGTACCTCCAGCCAGGTGGGTTTGGGGGAGATGGGAGGCGGAGCATTTCCGTTTCGGGTTGTGGGAATGGCAGGGTTGCCTTTGCACATACCCCTGTTGTGAGCTTTCCACATCCAATTACAAAATCACGCATGCTTCCAAGCTTGCATGCCCTGTATGTTACCATTCCTGAACGACACCATAACGGGTGTTGCAATGACGCGCTTGCATGCATGCATGCACGCTCGCAGGGTGGCGGCCGGCAGGACGGTGACGACTTCCTGGTGTTGCGGTTCGAGTGCCAGATGTACAAGGTCCGGGATGACGAGTACGTGATTGACATCCAGGTGCGCGGGGGAGGGTAGGGTAGACGAGGAGTGGCTGGGTGTGGTTAGGAAGGGAAGATGAGGAGAAGCTGTGTGCCAGACGGAGTTTATAAACGACGGCCATCGTTGTGCTTTCCTCCCATCTTCCCTCTCGGGTGTTTCACTTCTCGTTCCTTTCCCCCCCTTCTCGGCACCCCCTCATAACCCCCTTCTCTTCCTCCTCCTGTCCCCCCTCCCCTGCTGTTCCTCAGCGGGTGAATGGCGAGCTCTTCCTCTTCATGGACGTGTGCGGCCGGGTGCTCTCCGACCTGCGCATCTAGACCACACCAGAACACCAGATGCGCACCTTCGTACACCTCTGTCGTACACAAGGGCTGTGTGGGCCGCATGCATGCGGGCATGTGTCCTGCATGTATGGGTGCGGCCGGGCGCTTTCAGACCTGCAGTTAGTTGCAAGCAGCGGTGGTGAGCTGATGACTGGCAAGAGCAGAAGCAGCAGCCATAGGCCGGAGCTGGGCGGGCATGTTGACAGCGGCGGCGGTGGTACGGTAGCACTGCTGTTTGCGGAGGGCAGAGCATAGCAGCAACTGCAGTGGCTGTGAAGAGCTAGGGATGGTGGTTATGATGTTGGCATGGGTGGTGGTAAATAGGATGTTGTGGATATTCCGCATCACACATGGGTGGTTGGTGGAGAAGGAAAGCGGTATTGAGTTGATTGCGTTGATGTTATGTGTAGGCCGTCGCTGCTGCTGATGTGTTGCGGGATGTATGCCTTTTCAGTACATGGTTCCAATGGTTCCATTACGCAACGCCTATCCATCTAGGGTATTCAAACCGCATCGGTGCCTGGTTCACGGCTTGCCGGTAGAGGGGCGAGGTGTCTTGGTCTCTGGGGCCACAGCGGATGTCGCATGCAGCCTTGGGTGCAAGCAGCAGCAGTCGGAGGCCGACCGAGCGAGGGGGGCTGATTTCTTATTCAAGTAGTTCCCTCCTTGACACGTCGACTGAGCCTCACTGGTTGTTCCATTGGATGTTTTGATGGGATAAAAGCTGACAATCGTGAACGGCTTTCGGGCATGGCGACATGGGTCCCGATGCACTTTAGTCGGCTTTACACCATAATTGCGACCCGTGGGTCATGTCCTTCTTGCCAAGTCCCGAACTGCCGTGGCCCCCCATGCTAAAGCCATGCTCGCCTGTACCTTTAGGCTGAGACTAAGCTATTTAAGGCTTGTGCGGTGTGCTGCGGTGCTGAGAAAGTCTTGCACGGCAGGAATCTGGCTGGAACCACCTTGTCTCCATCTACCTTGTCTCAATTCTCTCCCTGGCTTCTGTGCTCCTGTCTACCTATTGGCCTGGATCCCCACGTTACTGCGTAACGAAAGCTGCCTGTGCTGTGATGTGGCCTCATGGCCAGGGGGAGAGGCAGCTGCCAAGGGCCCTTACACTGCAGGAGACCAACAAGCAAGCCGAACACCGGCCGTAACGAGGCATAGGCAATTGGGCATGCATGTGGTTCCCTAGAGACACTGCGAGACGTAGTCGCTAGGATTCCAAAGTAACGGAGATGTGGAGGGTCATATATCCAACTCCACTGCAGATGCACGGGGTCGCCACAAACAGCGGCAATGAGCCCTTGCCTGGGTGCGTTCGCCATTGGGGCGGGCACTAGGTTGCTGACACAGCACCCGTATGCGAAGTTCTATATCAGCTGAAAGGAAAGGCGGAACGCTTGGGTATGCTTGGGCACAAGGTGCGATGTTGGACAGACATATCTGCTGACATACTTTTGTCGTACCGCTCCGAAACCAAAACCGTGCAATGGTTCTGCCCTTCTGCGGTTATGTGCCTCTGAGAAGCACCTATTGCGCCGCATGGGAGACAAATGTCCTAGGTTCTGTCCACACGGCAGTTTATCCCAGCATCTGACACGAGCTTTGTGTTGCCAAGGACTCACGCTCACGGTGTGCATCGTATGACCAGAAAGCTGCTTCTGGTATTGTATCGGTATCGACCTCCAGGAATTGGTTCTTTCACCTGTGCCGCATGTACGGTAGTTCCGGCCGCGTTTTAACTGAAGCTGAGGGTGCGCCAAGAGCCCCGATGACCTGCAACAAAGGAAGTCTACTTCATGTTATTAGGTGAGAAACTGCTTTTTATAAAATTCATGGTCTGTACTCTGTAGACACTAACTTCTGGCCACAAATTGCTAATCCTCGGTTGTCCTGGCCTGAAGTTATACGAGCCATGCAGCAAGCCGTAAAGTGGCGGTGGATATCACCTAGAGGCCTTGTAGCTTTCGTCGCCTCCCCGTCGTCGCGACAGCCGGAATGTTGCAAATTGACAGCTTCCAAACAGCCGCGGTCTGCACCTCGCGTCGCTGTGTACTCGACAACGGTCGACGTGGCTGTATTTGATAGACCGACAACCCATGCGTCGTCCAAGCGCCCTAAAGCGTACAAACTGCATGACGCCACCTGCGGCAATGTTGATGGCCGCTCGGAGGGCCTTGCCGCTGCTGCTTCTTTACTTCCCACGAACCAGCTGAACCAAACTAGCAACCTTAACATCAAAACAAGCAGCTACAACGCCAACACCAATGTTCGCATGCCGCTGCTGCGGACACCGCCATCGGCCGAGGCAGTCCGTCGTGTCACCGCTGCCGCCGCTGCCACCAACAACAGCAGCGCTTACGGCGTCACCAGTACTTTCGGTTACCCATCCGCTATTGCTGATACCACCACAACAGCTGCTTCTGGCACTTTTGCAGCTGTTGCTACCGCCACAATAACCACGGCCGCCACTGTTGCCGAGGTCCCTCCTGCCCTCCTTCCGACACGTCATATCATAGCAGCAGTGGACCCCGACTTGAAGGGCGCAATTGCCGTGCTGTACTGGGATGAGGAAGCCGGCGATTCCAGCAATGCATTCTACCCAATCACAGCGCCGCCAGTAGCAGTACCAGCATCGGCTTCAGCCGCCCCGGAAGCAGACCAGGGCTTGGGTGAAGCGCAGGAGGAGGATGAGTTGGATAACCAGGACTTGCCGCTGGATGCAGACCAGGAGGCTATTGTCGGCGGCCACGACGGCGACGATGAAGGTACAGGCCCCCAGCTATGGCTGCCCGCGCCTCCGCCGCCTCCCGCCGACCGCTCCCGTTGGAAGGTGCATGTGTGGGACATGCCCATCAGTGCAGCTGAGCGGCAGAAGCGGACTGCCAGCGGGCAGGTTTCTCGACGCAGGTGAGGGAGCGCGGGGCAGGGCAGGACGAGGTAGTGGGTCAGGATGGGGGGGACCTGTACCGGGATAGCACCTGACGAGATGATCGTGGGGCATGGAAGGAGGGAGCTGGCGGGCTCTGCATACACACGTGCCGCTGCATGACCCCTAGCATGTGCTGGTATGCGCTCTCGCCTCGCCTTGCAACCCACCAGCCACCACGCTGCTTCTGTTCACTGTGTGTCAAACCCGACCAACCGCGCCCAGCCGCACCAGTCTGCTGCTGCTGCTGCATGTCGCAGCCGCTCGACAGTTATGCCTGCTTACTACTCAACCCCATTTGCTTGCCACCCATCGACGGAGCTGTTTCACAACCAATATCCTGTTTCACAACCCATGTCCTCCCCTCAGGCTGGTCCACGTTGCGGGTGCTCGTGCGGTGCTGGCTCGCGCGCTCAGCTGCGCGCTGCCGCCCCTGGGTGAGGCCCGCCGAGTGGCGCTGTACGGCTACGTGGAGGTGCCGCCCATCCTGCCGGGGGACGGCAACCTGGCAGTGTATGCAAGCCGTGAGTGGAGATGGTTAGGGGATGGAAGGGGCCGGGGTGGTGGCAAAAGGGAGGAAGCTAACCACAGCAGTGGGCTGGGAGGTCAAAGACCATACCGAACCATAGGAAACAGGTTCGGGTAAGACAAAGGGGATAGGAGCGGGGCTGGGAGGTGGGGTGATGCTAGAAAGGGTGGAGGTCTACATGCTCCCCCCTGATTGGCTGCGTGCGTCACCCTTCCCTCTTAGGATGAGTCGGGCATTGGGATTGGGATTACAAGCCTGCAATGCCTCACTTCTTTTCCTTACCCCTCTTACCCTGGAGTGAAGCGCAGCAACGCCCTCCTTCTGGTCTCTCTTGCAGTGTGGAGTACGGGCGTGTGGCTGGGTCTCATGGCCGGCATGGGCTTCACGGTGAGGAGTGGTAGTTGAGGAAACTGGCCGCGTTGTGTGTTTCTACATGCATGCATGCATGCTTGTCTGGACTGCGCCATGTCCTCCTCGCGCCTGCACCCTGAAACCCTCATAACGTCATAAGCTCATAACCCGTGCCTGGCCCGTCCTGCCTACAACTTTACGTTCACAGCATGGTGGTTTTTCATCTTCTTCCGGCCCTCCCCTCCGGCCCCACCTCCCTTTTCCTTCGCCCAGGTTGGTTCCACGCCGGTACGGCGCTGGAAGACGGACATGGGGCTGTTTGGCGCGCGCAGCAAGGACGCCAGCCTGCTGCTGGCACGCAGCTTGTTCCCCGAACAGGAAGCCATTCTCAGGTGGGAGGTCCAGGCGAGGCTGCGGGGTTTGGGGTTAGAGCTGCGGCGGACCGGGTCGCCGCCCGCCCCACCCTGTGCGCGTGCCTGCGCTTGTGTGCGATGGCAGTGGGGTTCCTGGGACCCAGATGCTCTACGTGAGCCCTGCTGTCCTGGCTATGGTGGCAAGTAAACCCCATGCGCGTTAGTCACATGGGGAGCCTACCATTCGCGTCTGTTCCGACTCCACCACTCACGAAGCCCCCACCCATGCGCTCTCCCCCCTGGCTCCCCGTGTAACCCTACCCTGCTACCCATCATACAACCATTATACAACGTTTACCCATGCATGCAGGCACAAGAAGAACCACGGCCGGGCGGATGCGCTCCTCATCGCCGCCTGGGCCCTGGGTGCCGGCCTGCCTCGCAGCCTGGCCAACACACTGCGTCGCAACGGGTGGACGTTGGATGAGCTGATGAGCCGGCACCCGGAGGTGGCGGGGCTGGAGTGGGGCATGCCGCGGCCGCCGGCGCCGACGGACGCGTACGGCAACCTGCTGACGCCTGAACAGGACATGATGGATGAGGTGGGTGGGCGGGGATGGGTGAGGACTGAGGAGAGCGCGCGGAGGGATGATGAGAGGCGAGGGGAGGAGGAGGGGTATGGCTGGAGAGGAGGATGGAGGGAGGCGTAGAAGGAGCTTGGAGGTTGAGAGAGGAGAGGGTAACGCATGAGCATGTCGTGTTTGTGCTGGTTGGCGCTGCATGCTACCGGTATATAGATGCGTAGAGAGAAAGTTGTGGGTTCGATCACAACTTTGGGCGCCTGTGCAAGTGGCGTCGGTGGCCTATGTCGTGCTCTCGCCTCCTCCTTTGCTTTCCTCCTCCTCAACACCTCTTCACCACACCGGCCCCCTCCGCAGATCGAGGCGGCCGAGGCCAAGGTGGACCGCAAGGCGCAGGAGCGCAGCAGCAAGACGACGACGACGGCGCGGCGGCGGAAGAAAGCGACAGCAGATGACAGTTCTAACGAGAAGGGCAGCGGCAGCAGCGAACAAGCTGCTGCGGGCGGGGAACAAGAACTGGCTCCGCCGCTGCGACGGAAGGGGAAGACGAAAAAGGCGGCAGCAGCAGTTGCAGCTGCGGAGGAAGGAGAGGGACCGGGTAAGCGCCGTACGGAGGAAGAGGGAGAAAGAGACGGGGAAACTCAGGCAGCGGTTGCCCATGAGACGGCAGCGGTGGGTGAGGAGGGAGTAGGAGGAGTACAGAAGGAGGAGAAGAAGAGGTCGCGTGGCAGGCCGCGACGGGAGGCTGGGGCGAAGGCTGCTGCTGCTGCTGTTGGCGGCACCGACTCGGCCGTTGTGGTGGATAGGGAGGGGAAGGAGGAGGAGGGTGCAGTGACTGGGGCTGGAGAGGTGGAGAAGGGAAGCAGGAGGCGAGGACGGAAGAAGAAACAGCAAGGAGGGGAGGAGTAGCGAGGGGATAAAGGTGGTGCGTGAAGGGGTGCCAGGATGGGGATAGGGCAGCACGCTAGCACTCGGGGTAGCGGATTAGCAAGGAAGGGGGGTGAGCCTGTACGGCTGGGTGCGCCATCCCTAGGTTGCTTGCTTGTGGCCGGCTTTGTTATGTATTTATTTGATCGATGTGTTACGAGTTAGCATGGCCTGCAGTAAGATGCATATAACAGCACCATCACGACTAAAGACGTTACAGTGCGGATGACTTACTGGGAATGGATCACGCGTTACCCGCAAGTATACAACTGGCAGGTAACCCTGTTCACGTTATTTTCTTTTTATCGTACCCGTATTATTTCCATTTGAGAGCTGTAGAAAGGATTCCGGGGCTTTTAACGCTGAGCGCGATTACGGTGAGTGCTCATAGACGTGTGGGCTCCGCACCACTCATTGTTTCTACGTGCTTACCACTTCTTGCATTATGGCAAATTACTAGCCCTGTTTCCATGGGCGCAGGTTTGGTTTCGGACAGTTCCTACGTGTTTCCATGAGGACTGTCGTACGAAATTTTCACGCAGGAACTCCCTATTTTCCTACGGCGCCTCCCCCCTCGTAGGAAAATAGGAAGCCATAGGACGGCGTTAGCTGCCGTAAAAGTGGAGCGAGTGGAGCGCAGCCGGAGCGGAGCATCGCCTTTGGTTAAAGCCTCTAGCTTTTACTTGTTGCTCTTTTTGCCTTGCTTTACTTGTCGCGCGTATTGCCTTCACGGCCCTCATTCCTGACTTCTAGAGCGGTTGGAATATGAGCGTATGGCGTGGCAAGGAAATTTAAAGCGAGCATCGATCTGAACCTTGCGTGGCCTGAGTCTTATGTCCGAATGCTCGGTTACTGCGAACTGAGCATTTCTATGCATATTAAGAGCCTACAGTTTGAAACACAAAGCAAAGCAATAGCTTGTGTGGCGCCCCACAAGTGCAAGATCATGCGCGATAGCGCAGTGTCCCAACTTTCGCTGCACTCAGTTAGCAAAGCACGAGCAAATTGGGAAACAATAGCAGCTTCCGCAATGCCAGATGTAGCAGCGAGTATGAACATAGCCTGTCCACGATGATGGCACCGCCAACCATGTCGCTGCACTTCCCGTTCCTCAAACCACGTGAAACCTACCAGTGTGGCCCTAGTACCTTTGCTGACTTCCTCAGGGAGCAATTCGCCCTTACCCTTTCTGGCCAGGCAACCAGGCACCTCCTGATGGACCCATGGGCTCTGTGGTGACTGTGCCACAGCAGAGGCAGACCCGGTACCTGCCCCTTAGGTCCTTACCGCTAGGGTGCAAACTCCACAAATGAGTCAGAACGACAACCCAGTACCTAGAAGTATGGATTCCACGATAAAGCAACCATTCCTTCTTCCTTTCCCTTGTCACCCCGGCCTTCTAATATCTCCCCTCCGAAAGGATGCTTGGCATGTGGGCTACTGCTTGAGCGATGGTTCGAAATGGAAGAGCAGGAATATGATAGAACATAGGGAGGACGGAGGAGGCACAGTGCTGCCGGCAAAGGATCCCCACAACAGGCCAACACCAAACAGGTGACCGCAGTGTTACTCTGTTTGGGAAGGGTGCATGGTGTGGCATAGGCATGGCATACCCATTCAGCCTACTCCCCGACAACCCAGGGGGCTTGAGGGGTGGGGCCGCAAGACTGGTAAGAGACCGAACGCGTATGCATGCGAGAACCTGTAATATGCCCCAAAACACGCAAATGCAAGGTGAATTTGAGGGACGGTATAGAGCACGTATTCTCTAACGGTTGACCCTTGGTGCGAGATCTAAGCAGCTACACGTTCAAACACAGGCTCAGAGCATGGGTGCCTAGATCTGTTTGAGAATGATAGCGCATCCTTGGTAGTGCCTTGCCACTGGCCACTGGCCAGTGCCTTGCCACTGGCTCCTAACCACTGGATGGTCCTCATCATTGGAAGTGCCAAGACGCCGGATAGAACATGAAATCTAAGCAGCTATACGTTTAAACACAGGCTCAGAGCATGGGTGCCTAGATGATAGCGCATCCTTGGTAGTGCCTTGCCAAGGCTCCTAACCACTAGACGGTGCTGATCATTGAAGTGCCAAGACGCCGGATAGAACATTAAACATAAACACCGCTCCTACTATAGCGTGAAGACGAATGAAGTTCAAGAAACAAGCTTTGCGGAAGAACCAAAGGAAACTTTTCCGCGTGCGCGCAGCACAAAATGCAATAAATGGTTCGATATCGCCATAATATACTGGCCAGGTACGGTGGTCTCAGCCTTGGTTTCTCTATTCCATGGAAACAGTCTCGTAGGAAGTCGTAGGATAGGAAGGGGTACGACCAGAAACCAAAATTCCTACGAGCCCATGGAAACAGGGCTACTCGGCGGTTGACGCTGATTTAAACTATGGGTACGGCAAAAGGCCTGCCCGAGATATTTCCCTATCTTTGCAACTGGGCATCCTCATCGCCTAAAATCTGGGGACACAGGGCGGGATTACGCAAGACGGCATCTGCACTGATTACATTAACCGACAGAGCGTGAACGCAGCTTTGGTGACAGGCAGGGCGCGTCCCGCGTGAGGTGTGCATCCGGGCTGGTTTACGGAGGTGCTTCCGACGAATCGAGAGTGAAGCGCGATCATCCCCCGTTCTGAAAGGTGGGATACGGTGGTGCAAGCATGGGCAGCTTGTGCGCTATAGCCTTCTAGCCGCAGAGAAGGTTTAGAGACCCCAACGCTGAATAGAGAACAAACGGAAGACAACGCCTGCATTTCACTACTGGCTTTCGCCCGGCATAACCCGGCTAATGTACCAGGTATTCTGTGGACTGAATGGCCTAGCGGATTAGCTTTGAACCTACAACAACATCCTGCTTAACGCGCTTCTTAGACACCGGTTCGCGTCTGCGCCCGATTTGAATTACCTATGCAAGCCATGTCCGTGTGTCGACGCCTGCTGAGGATGTAACACCAAAGCAAGCGCTATATTTTTCGTAAGCCGTATACAAATCGTATAATGCATTTGGCTTGCCTGGGATACCACTTGGTCTGTGCCGTTAGCCACTTGAAGACTTACTGTGAACATGCACAGCCACACAGCCCTGCGCATTACTAAAAAATCCCCTAATCTACGGCTTCTTTGCGCGTGTAGCATATTACACTATTACTGGCTTAAGCTCCACAGTCCAAAGTGCAACACTATTAGATGACCGTTAGGTGACAGAACGGCAAGCCTCGGCCTTCCTCAATACATCGTCCAGCCGACGCGCCTCGCCAAGCATCTCTCACGTTGTCGCACTTTTCAGAAGGCGCGCTCTGAGGCATATGTCGGAACAAGCGAACACCTCCCAACTGCAGCCCTAACAGGCACGTGCAGACTGCCACCAGCCCATCCTTCTCGCAAGCCCGCTTTCCTCCACATACACTACCGCCACTACCATACAGCGCTTGGGAACACAACATTTTAAGTCCCATTGGCGCCATTTCCCACACCAGGACACCGCCAAGGGCGCCAACACCACCCAAAGAAGTAAGGACCTCGCATCCTGCCGGACCCAGCCCGAACAGCTCAAGCGCCTCACAGCCCCCTTCCTGGGAGATGCTCTCCCTGGCATCACCGCCTCGACCGTGCCCTCTTCGTCCGCAACGCTCGCGTGCGCCACAGCCCATCGCCGCCGGCGCAGCTGCCACCCCCACCAACGGCGGCGCACGCACTTGCACAGCACCGCCACAATCCGCGTTACTGTCGCCAGCAGCAGCAGGGGCGAAGCAGCTAGTACTCAGCACAGCTTCCTTCTCCCAGCAGAGGCTTCCCCGAAGCCACAGCAACCGCTTCGCTTCCATGGCAGCTGCTGTCGGTGCGGGTCCCTCCGCTGCTGGGGGAGCTGCTGCTGCTGCTGCTACGGCGACCAAGGATGATACCTTTGTCTCCATTCCAGCGGATGCCAAGGTGCTTTTGATTGGTATCACCGGTGCCACGGGCAGGTGCGCTGTCCTTCTTAGATAAGGAGCCCAGTCGTACGGGCGCTCCCCATGCTGTTCATTTGGCTTGTCGAAACTGCTGCAGTCCTCGTCCCTCAGCAGCGTCAGCCGTCGGCTTTCTTTGCTCTGTTGCTTCCTCATGGACCTCCGCCTCTCATGCATGCATGTGTCTCTTCCCACCCGCTTTGCCGACCTGCAGGAGTGCGCTGCAGGGGCTGCTGGCGGCTGCTGGCCGACCCATGGGTCGCAGCGGCCCTCACCAGTACCAGCTGCTGGCCATGAGTCGGAACACGCAGGGCGCGGCGGCGAGGGGGCTGCCGGAGGGGGTGCAGGTGCGAGGATGGAATCAGGGAGTGTCGCTGTGGGGCAGGGCTCATCTTCACGTTTTCTCCTCACCTCTACCTTTTTACCCGCGTTTTCCGTCTTGCAGGTGGTTGCGGGCGACTTGGATTCCGCAGCCTCCCTGGAGGCAGCCTTGCGGGGCGTGGACGTGGTGTACTGCCATGCGCTGTCCAAGTAAGAGCTGCTACTGCTCGTAGTACTGCCGTTGCACTGCTGTAACCGCTGTAAATGTTGTAACCGCTGTAAACGTTGTACCCGCTGTAAATGTTGTAACCGCTGATGATGACGCTCCTGTTGTGGTTCACCCCCGTTGCATGCTGCAGGGACGCGGTGAAGGCGGACCCTCAGGAGCTGGTTCGGGCCAGGAACCTGGCAGCAGCGGCCAAAGCAGCAGGTGGGTCGGCGGGTCCGTGCGTCGGTCGACCCGTGGGTCAGCCGGACCCTGCTTGCGAGCGCGGCGGACGCTTGGGCCCAGCTTGTTTACTGCATGTGCCTTGCTTGCACGTCCTACCCGCCTGTGCTTGCTGTCTCCATCCCTACCCCACGCTTCCCACCCTACCAGCCAAGTGCCCAGCACTGCGTGCAACACCCTCTTGTTCATCCCCAACCGCACAGGCGTACGACTGATCATGTACAACAGCAGCGGAGGTCGTGGATGCGGGTACGGCATTACTCAGATGGAGCAAAAGCACCAGGTGGAGGACATCTTGGCGGCTGCCGTACCAACGGTTGCGTTGCAGGTACGACAATGAAGGCAGCTAGCGTGCCGTACCTGTGTGTACGGTGCTGCACACATATCTGCGGTATGCCGTACCAAAGGAGGTGCAGGGCCCCCTGGCCATTCGTATCTTCCATACCGGGTTTTAGTCCTAATAATAGGACCTAGGAGGATTTCTCCCACCACCGCCACCCCGTCCTCGCCCCCTCATCCGCCCCCAACGCCTGATCACCCCCAAGGCCACGCTATTCATGGAGGAGCTCTGGAAGCGCTACACGCGGCCCGGCATCCTGAAGGGCACTTTCACCTGGAGCACGCCCTCTGACCGGTGGGAGGGAGGTTGGAGGAGGGGAGGAGCTGGGACCTCAATGCAATGGGGGGATCATGTTTGTAACGTGTACGGCAACACAGAGAGGGAGGGGGGCAGGGAAGGAGATTGTGAAGGAGGCTAGAAGAAGGGTTGGGGAAAAGGGCAACATGCATGTCGACGCCTGCTGCCGTATTTTATGTTTATATCCCTGCTGTGTTCTTCCTCCATCGTTGCCTCTCCCTTTTCCTTCTACTCCACGAGCAGGCCGCTTCAGCTTGTCTTCCCTCATTACTTCCCTCTCCTTTTCTGTTACTTCCCCTGTCTTCTTCCCCCATTGCTGCTCTCTTCAAACATAAATATGATTAAAATCAAAGCAGGCCGCTGCAGCTGGTTGCCGCTCGGGACTTGGGACTTGTCGCCGGCAGCCTGCTGGCATCCCCCGAGGGCGGACTACATGTGCCGTACATCCAACGCGTTCAACCGCCCCAAAAACCTCAGCGGGCTCAGCAGCCTCTGCGGCTGCGAGCGTTGGAGCTGGCGGGGGATGAGCTCACTCCGGCGCAAATGTGCGAGGAGTTTGCAAAGGTGGGGGCGGTAATAAGGGAGGAAGGAACACCATATACCTTACAGGGTGAAGCACTCACTCACTCAGGGGGGAGGGAGGGAGGGAGCTGATGGCACCAGGGAGGGAAGGAGAAAAGAGGCACCGCCCCTCATCACTGTCTTCTACTGTTTCCTACCATCCTTGTGCTGTGCGTAAAGCTCTTCGTTCTGATCCACTCCCCACCCCACCCCTACACCCATGTTGGGCAACTGCGATCCCGCAGGTGCAGGGCCGCCCCGTGCAGCACCGGCGGGCGCCCGCGTGGCCCTTCTGGTTCCTGGCGCGAGACGTCTGGCGCATCGCCAGGTGCGTATTTGGGGGGAGGGAGACGGAGGAGTAAAGGGGGAAAAGGAGGAGCGGAGAGTTGGGGTGCGCTTGGCAAGTGTTTACTACCGGTACTACGGTAGGGGCTGGGTAGGGCGGGGAGTTCGGGCGGGAAAGAGAGCCGTTGAGGTTGGCATATGGCGCCATGCGTCCAGCAGACAGGACATTGGGGAAATGTTACACGCTGGAGTATAGGGCCTGGCGTTGCCGGGCGGCGGTTGAAAGGAGGTGCATTCATGACACGTGAGGGGAGGGCTATGGGCGAGCGGTTGATTGGGCAACAATCAGTCACTTTCGCTCCATGCGACCTATTTGCTTTTGTCGTACACTACTTGACGTGGTTGGTTGACACCTACATTCGTTGTGCCTGTTGTGTCGGTTGGTCCCGCTCATCACTACCAGGTTCCTGACTGAGCGAGGATACTGTGCGGATGTGGCGGCTTGCCGGAAGCAGGTTTGTACACTGTACTCCTCGTATTCCTGTTGGTACTTTGTATTTCCTGTTATAACCTGTTACTTCCCCTGTCGTATACCCACCTGATGTCGTTCCCCCTGTCGTACCCTGCCCTATTCCTGTCGTACCCTGACGTATATTACCTCCTGCCGTACCCCTGCTGCATGCAGTTCCCTGGTATGATGACCTTCCATGACTTCCTGGTTACCTCCCGCTGGGCTGACCCCGCCCTGAGCTTCGAGGACGGCATCTCCTTCACATCCAGCCCGCCGGCTGACCCGGCTGCCACATCCAACCCAACTGCCACGTCATCCACTCCGTTGACCCCTCAGCAACAGCAGCAGAAGCAGAAGCAGTGATGCACCGCCTTGGCACACAGGGGCGGCACTGCAGCTGCAGCTGCGGCGGTGTAGAGGCTAGTGTAGCAGTGCAGGTACATATATGTCGAGACGGTGGCTAACATTAGTGGTATAGGCTAAGCAGCTGCAGTAGCTATGGTGGTGTTGAGTGCATTACGTTAGGGTATCGCCATGGTTGGCTGTAGCATGAGGTGAGGAAGGATGGAAAGGAGGAGGGAAGGGGAAGGTGGGGCCACAAGTGAGTCGTCCAGACTTTTGTGAGCTCTGTCAGGCGGTTTGCAACTTGTTTGTTGGTACTGCGTAATGAAGGAAAATCCATTTTGCCATGCATGCATGCGCTCACGCCTGCGCATGGGGCACTGATCAGAAGATTTGGAGAATGGCAGCAGAGCAGCAGTACTGCAGGTGAGACGTGGCCGTGGAATAGACCGCAGTATACTACTTGGTATTGTTGTTTCAAGGACTGGGAGTTCTTTCGTATCTTTGTTAGGCTGTTGTTATGTTGTTGAACAGTGTTGAACAGTGCTGTATTGAGGTTGCGTAATTGCTGTTGCCAGTCGCCTTCTACTGGTATGAAGATAGCTGCGGATGGGGGTATTGGGGAAGGGGCACCAGCCCCTTCCCCCACCAAAATGTACCGGTATACCGGACAAGAGCTCCGCAGACGGCTGCGACACTCCACGCTAGTTAACGTCTTGAGTGTAAAGCGTGTGCCTTCAATGGTTCGCGTTCCCGAATAAAACGTGAATGGGCCATTCGGAATGGCCGCCGGATGTCGTACGGATGGTATGTACGGCATGTCTCGCTAGGTCTAACGTCGAAAGGCCCCTATGGCATAGGGGATGGCGTAGAGTGTCGCAGCCGTCTATGGAGCTCTTCTATCCTTTGGAACCGTAAGCACCTTGGAACCTTGCGATCCCGGGTCCTTACATGTCTCTATACATCTATGTAAATTAACACGCTCGTGCAGTACTTTGCTTCCGATCGACCTGTTGTTGCTCCGCTCTCTACACTCCCCCACGTTTTGCTAGAAATTGGGAAAGAACCGAGCAGCCGGGTCGATATTCTCGATACAAGCCCTGAAAGCCCTAGTACAGTTGTTCCGGAGCCCAACGGCTACTGGCTATTTTGGCTTCGTGGCGAGTTGACATAATGCTTCTGCTCACTCTGTGTGATTACGACCATATAGTTGTCATCCAAAACTGGGCACCGCCTCGATAAGCGTAAAGGAACATCACAAAAGCCCCTGTAAAAGTCCCTTTCTGTAAGCTTAACTGACAGACTCTAGATTTCTGGGGTCCAACAGCGGGAAAAGAATAACCGGATCTTCCTCTCGCCGCAGAATCTTGGCTGCCTGGGGGAATCGATGCAATGGGATTGGCGGGTACGCCGCACACGGCGACCCAGACGTGCGCACAAGCGATTACAGTGTTATATTTGGACTCGTAAAATATAGCTCTTTATCCTTATTCAAGCTCCAGCTGCTATACTTCTTCGTTGTTCAGTTAACAACGCCAAGCTTACACCTGAAGGTGATTTAGTAACTTGTGCTGATCCCTTTAGTCCAAGATAATATTCTGACAAGAGAATTGTGCTCCTTTTTCGCTAGGGAATTAACGGTAGAGGGAGGAGGTCTACATCGGCCCTGTGTATGCAGGTGCACGTGAACGGTATGTTAAGGCCGGCGTGGTCCATCTTCCATCTGTTGCGCGGCCTTATCAATTGAACGAACTCTACTTTGCCGCATAGGGTTTTCCATGGAAGCCTTCCATCCGATGCGACATCTGCCTTGCCGGGCACAAGCTACCTTACCGTATAGTCATTCTACTCGCGTGGCTCAGAAGCTGCTTGTGGCGCTCGATCGACCCGCACCTTGTGCATCAGCCGGCCGCAAGCGATACAAGGTAGTCCGCGGCTGCGCTGTGGCAGCGCCAGAGCGACAACGGACAGTCTGCGAGAGCGATTTAGGTTGGAGGACGGATTTTGCGGAGCATTACTCCTTACTAGAAGTAATCGGCAAGGTGGGTCCTCCGCTTAGCTAGGTCCATGTGTGCATAACTTCCGCCTCATATCGATATCGATATCGCCTTGTCCTGACCTTAGCAGAGGCGCCCTTTGACCTGTAGTTCTTACGCAGCTTCGAGAGCACCTACCTTCGCTCTACGCCAAAGTCAACGCCTCGCCCGTATACCTCTCCTTCCCAGCATCCGCGTCCCTTCTTCGCTTCCTCTCCTCGTCCCGTTATCCCTCTGTCGAACGCGTTCCAAAGCCACCACTGCATCACCATCTCCGCCCTTAACCCTACAGGGCAACTTCGGCACGGTCTGGCTGGCCGCGTCGCGGCATGACCCTTCCAAGCAGGTCGCGGTCAAGGTTCTCCCCAAGGCACGCCAGGACCGCAGCAGAGAGGAGCTGCTGGCAGGCATCCGTCGGGAGGTAAGACAGCAGCCCACTTCCCGCGGTAACATGAGTCGTGTCTAGTAACCTGCATAGTGGTGCTTCCTCGCTTTCACCGTATCTCTGACGTCCCCTTGTTGCCGCGCACTGCGGCGTTTGGACTTCTTCCTCTCTGGCGCCCTCTGCTTTACTTTACCCTCTGACCCCTCCCTACTGCCCTCCCTTCCTCCTTTCTCGCCCCCTGCTGCCCTGCAGGTGACGCTATGGAGCAGTCTGAGCGGCTCCTCTCGCTTCGTGGCGCAGCTGTTGGGGCTGTTTGAGGACGGCGGCAGCGCCTACCTGGTGCAGCAGCTGTGTGCGGGGGGCGACCTGAGTTCGGCGCTGGAGGTGAGGAGAAGGGGGCCCGATCTGGGTCGGGATCTGGGTTGGGAATGACCGTGAGTGCGGTCTTGAAGGCAGGCCGACTGGGTTGATTCGGGTCGGGAAGGGCGGGATCTGGGTCGATCTGGGTGTGGGTGTTGCAGCAGCTGTCGATCTGGGTCGGGAGGGACGTGAGGGTTGCTGCAGCTGTGTCAGGATAAAAGGGGACCTAAGCGCCTGTGCGCACTCTGTCAACAACGTACGGAGTGTGTTGCATGGGAGGAGGCTTTGGAGGCGTGGGAGGGAAGCTGGGCTTGGCCACGATTTGGGTCGGCTGGTTCCGTGTTTGGTCCTTCCCAGACCTTGGCCCCTTCTAGCTATCTCCTCTCCTATACTGTAGCCTCTCGCCCTCCCTCGTCCTAACCGCCATGTGCACTTGCATTGCTGGCAGGAGGCCCCCCTGCCCGAGGCCGCCTGCGCCGCCATTATGTGGTGTGTGCTGAGCGCCATCCGCGACTGCCACCAACGCAAACTCATCCTGATGGACGTGAAGCCGCAGAACTTCCTGCTCACCTTCTCAGCAGCCCGGGCGGTAGCTGCAAACACAAACGGTAGCAGTAGCAGCAGTAGCAGTGCTGCTGGAGGTGGCCAGGTTGCTGTGACTGCTGCTGCTGCTGCTGCTGCGGCGGCGGCGGTAACAACAGCGGCCGTTGGGAGTAGTGGTTCTGGTGGGTCCCCGGCAGTGGGTGCTGCAGCAGCAGTGACTGTAGCAGCACCTGCGGCCTTGACGACGTCATCTGGGTCTTCCATGTCGGACGGGGGAGGCATGGTTGGTACTGCTACTGCTACTGTCGGTGTCAGCAGCAGTGTATCTACGGATGGCAGCAGTAGCAGCGGCAGCGGCGGTAGCACTAGCAGCGTTGGCAGCATGGACGGCGCTAGCAGCAGTTACAGCAACGGTGCGCGTAGTAGTAACGGCCGTGGCGCGTTGGGTTCGTTTGTACGGCAGTTGCGGTTGGAGGATCAGGTATCTGGAGGCGGCTCTACAGGTCCGGCGGTTGTCGCCTGCGACTTCGGGTGCGCGGTGCATGGGCTGCAGGGACTGTAGCGGGGCGACGGACTTGTGCTAGCGAATTGGGTTTGAAGAGTGGGCCTTGTGTCGATGACTGGAGTGATTGACAGAAGGGGGCGCCGCACGTACCATAGTGGTGGCGACTGCGCTGCCTTGAAACCAATGTCTATCGCACCAGCTCTATCATCATGTCGTACATGCCTTAATGCCTCTCCCGTTTGTCGTACGCAGGTGTTCATTGGCGTACAGCGATCCAGCTCGCGGCTCCAAGCGAGGCGGCTCGCCGGTGTTCTACGCTCCGGAGCAATTCTCCTCCAGTTACGGGCTGGCAGTGGACGTGTGGGCAGCAGGTGCGGTGCGCGGGACTGCGAGGTTTGCGGGGCTACTTGCTCCTGTCGGTTGGGGCGGGTGCCGCTCCTAAGGACTGTCGATGAGGATGTCATGTTTCTGGGGCGTAGAGTTTCTGGTGCCCACATATCCCTTTACATCACCCTACACCCAACCTTACACCGGCACCCCCTGCCCTGCCCCGCCCCGCTGCGGCTGACGCTCCAGGCGTGATGCTGTACCTGCTGCTCAGCGGGCGCTACCCCTTTTGGGACACCAAGCGAACCCACATGGAGCCGCAGCTGCCAGCATACCAGGTGAGAGGCGTACGGAAAAACGACCCAAGTTTAAGAGGAGGGGGGCACATGACAGGCAGGCGTAAACCAGAATGCATGCATGGGATGGAATGGGTGCCCTGTCCCACGGTTCCTCTGCCTCAGCCACGTTTCCGCTCCCCCGCCTTATCACCCCTTCCCCTCTTCCCCACCTGTTACCGTTTCCCCGCCTCGTCAGGTCATGCTGGCAGTGTGCAGTGCGCCCATTACCTTCCGCGGTCCCGAGTGGCTGGTGGTGTCACGTGAGGGGCGCGACCTGGCTGAACGCATGCTGGACCGCAACCCCACCACCCGCATCACCGCGGAGGAGGCGCTGCAGCACCCCTGGTTCGCACGGTGGATGCGAGGAGGAGCCGGGAGCGCGTCTGGGGATGAGGCGGCGGCGGCCTCATTGTCCTCGTCATCCACAGCTGGAGCTGCGCGGGCGGCAGCAGCATCGTCGTCGTCGCACCATAAGAAGGGCGGCAGCGACTACCGGCAACACCGCCACGTGCATCCGGCCCCGTCAGCTGCGCTGAAGCACGTACGGCAACAGCAGGGGCAGGAGAGGAAGGGGGAGGAGATGGGGAGGGTTTCCGGGCAGGTGACCCATGGGTCGGCTTTTGAAGGTGAGCTGAAGCTGCACCCGGGATCGTCCCTTCAAGGCGGGGCGATGACGACTGGTTCTAACGGTTGCTGTGGTAACCGTATCAGTGACAGCGGCGGTGGCGGTAACATTGTGTCCTTGAATGCCGCAGCTGCGGCGGCGTCAGTAGTGGCCGGTCGCAGTGATGCCGGTGCCGCTGCTGCAACCAATGCTGGCGGGATCGGCATTGCTGTTTAAGGAACACCACCGAGGAGAGCTATGCGCGGCCCTTGTACAATATCGCTTCACTTGAAGGTCTGATGTCTCCTGAAGGGTCTTGTAATAAGTATTGTGTTTGTTCCGCAGGTGCTAAAAACGTATTGTTTGAGAGAAATGCTTTGGTGAAGATGGGTGACGAAAAGCATGGCGCGCTTGGGCGTCTTGTCTGTCTGTCCTCTCGTACAACAGACGGAACATGCTGCGTGTTTTTTTACAACTGTGTACGACTGTGTATATTGTTTTTGCGAATGCCTGTGGACGACGAGTCACCGTGGTGTGTATTAGGACGCGCATGTGGGTCGTGTCTTCTTTCGGGTAGCGATGCTACACCGTAAAGTACTGCTCAAACCCTTCCCTGCAGCGGGCAGGCATGCGACAGCCCCTTGAATTGGGGGGTCGCTTCTGGCCTCTGCAAAATACTGCTGCTTTGGCATGCTCAACGTGGGTCGTTCTGTAGTGTTAACAAGTCATTGTTTTTCGCTCGACAAGTGTACGACAGTCAACGTAACTGGTGGTATTGAGCAGGGGCCACCTCGCTACTGATTGGATAGGCTAAGCGATGGTGGTGGTTGCGTCGACTAGGAGATACCGGTAGTTAGCGAAGCTCGAGGGCATGGTAGTGTTTAGGAAGACGATGAATGCATTTTCTTGGTCGTGGCACTTGGCTTGGTGACTGCTCTGGTTGGAAGGGAATGCTGAGAACGCTGATAGTGATCTCCTTGGGTAGTTTGGGTGGCTTGAATTCCATTTCCCAGCGAATTGTTGGGTGGCACGTTAGTGAGCAGAGCGAGTGATGCCACATGCCGTTACCATGTTGAGAGGCATGTGAGGGTTACTAGATAGGAGGAGAGGGTTGCGTTCTGTACCTCTATGGCGATTGATGGAGGCATGGCATGAGTGCGGTTTCGGGGCGTGGAACATTCGTCAGATTCGACCTTCTGTTCGCGAGAAGTTCTACTTGCTGCTGAAAGGTCCGGGTAATAGGACCGTGTTCCTTTGCAGAACGCTAGGGTTTGCGTGCGGCGGCTCTCCTCGTCATCTCGGGGTTTAAAAGTTTTGTCTCGTTGCTTCATTCTTGGGCGCATCTTGCGCATGGTAAGATAGCTGCTACATTGCTGCTTTTGTGTGCCAATAAGTAAGACTGGCGCCGCTGTTCTTCCCCTCGCGCACACGCACGTTTCTTTGTGGCCGGCCTTTGCGTGCGCAAGTGTGCGTTTGTGGGTCCGTACGGGGTTGCCGTGGCGCGCAAGATGGCTTACGCTTGATTCTTTGCTTGCTTTCCGTACAGATGGTTAGTATCTCGGTGCGAGTGCTGATGCCGTACGCTCGCAACAGCCTAACGGAGGTAGCCTCTTGTTGCGCCCGCCTGATTCCTCATGCTGTGACCGTTTGTTGGGAGTCAACTAGGCATGCGTTTGGGCCCATCCAAGCCCCTTTATGGGCACCCCAACCTGAACGCCTAAACGTCAGAAGCCACTGCGTTCGTACGTGGCTAGCGGCTAAGGAATAATGCATACCGGCACTCGGTGGTAAGGTTACACCTCATAGGGAGATCGCTATGGAGTTGACAAGGGAAAACGCACTTTTGTGGGCATGACTGTACGATTGTGTACGGATGGTGGACCGCAGCCTGTGACCGAAGCACTTCCTTGTTTGGCGCTTGCTACTCCGGAAACTGGAGGTCCAGGTTAGCTGCAATCCTGCGAACAATGTGCGCTAGGGGGTGCGTGCGGCCAATAGCACGACCGTGACTCTGTAATAGGCACGGAGCTTTAGGAAGGATGTGGGGATGAAGCATGACTGCTGTTGAACCTGGCTTGGACTGGTGCTCACGTGTTGTGTGTCTAGCATGGGTTGTGGACAAGACTTTGCTTGTTCAGTCCTCCTGGCCTTCCGTGACGGTTGCCTGGCGGTCCTGCTTTCGGCGGTTTCCCCTCTCTCATTCGTCCTCCTGTAAGGGTCTGCAAGCTGCCCCAAGAGGAAGCCAAAGCTGGACGCTATGCGCAAGCAAGTCATGTGGTGTCTTAAGCGTGGACACTGTTCCTCACGACACTGTGATCTTAAGTATCTAAAGACTGATTGCAAACTCCCTTGCGTTTTCCGGCATAGACGCTGCCAGGCGAGCTGTTGACACGCTTTCCATAGTGTGAAAGGGTCATATATGCCCATAGACGGTGTGTTATTATTAAAATGCAACAGTCCAATGAACACGGAATGTACGTCATCTAGAAATGATGCCGTATTCTCGGCAACAGCAACTTGGATCAATACTATGGTCGTGTGCAACCACTCCTACACGATTCTACAAGTAGCACCTAACTACAAGTAGCACCTAACAAATCACCTAGTAATCGTTGCAACCCTTTACCCGACTGCAGCACACGAAACCCCAGCAAAGCGGGGCAGAACCTCAATATGCGGCAGACGACAGCAACACCCGCTCCGCCTCCCCGCACACACTACACCATGCAGGCACGCTGTATGTATCTGGGCAACACGCCTTTCACTGCTACCCAAGCCACACGATACCGGTAAGAGCAAGGAAGTCAACGCGTGGACATGCAAAAGGAAGAACACAATAGCCGCTCAGCGCTGAGCCGTGCGTTGCCGTGCACCGTACTTCAGCACTTCTAGGCACATTCGTAATACATTCCCTCCAATGTAATCCTTGTTTCTTAGGTAGTCCGCGTTTGCAAAATAAACAGCCACAAGGCAATGAGGAACAGAAGAGCGAATAATGGAACACACCACTTATCGCTAGAGAACCGCTAACAGCCAACCTCTGCATGCATGACGAATACCGAGCGTAAACATGGCTTAGGAAAGCGTCACGTCGAACTGAAAGCCGAATAATGTAGCTACATGCGTAATCTACAAAACGTTTACCGTCCTGCGCTACACCCCAGGCGTTACTTGTAGGCCCCCTACGTGCTTTGTAGTACTCTTTTTACTGTCGTCGTGCTTCCCTCCAGTATTCCGGCCTTAAATGCATGATGCCTGTGCTGGCGGTCTGGTTGCTTACTCCTCCCAACATGTCTATCGCGGCGCGTGTATTAACCGCCCAACCTGACCCTAGGTCTTCACGACGCGCCACGCCAGCCCTATTACCCTGCTTCCGCGGTACATATACCCATATCACAAGGACACTAGTTACGTTCTGAGATGGAAAAACCCAACCGCTACGACAAGACATGGCGTACTAGGGACAGTTCCCGTGTCATTGCACGGTCTATCGTACAAATCTCCTCGATCTAAACTATAACCAACGTCAACAACAACACAACTAACGACAACACAATACGACAAGAGATAGGTGTTAGACCAACAGCAACAGTTTTACCTTTTGCAAAACACGGACACAGAATTCGCCTATATACACAACTCCTGCAAGGCTCAGACACATTAGGCTATATACGCAGCAACTATGTATGACAACTCGAGTACATGGCAAGTACTGGGCTCCCGCTCCGCCAATCAGAAACAGTTGCCGTCAAACCCCACATGCAAGACAACACTTGTCCAGGCTATTGCCACTTGTCCCAACTTGTGATATCCTCGCTCAACTCGTTTTGCGGGTCGATTGAAGGACGCAAGGGGGCCTGTTGCAAACTAACAACCCGTCATCATCAACAGTCAACATGCAACAATATGAACAGATGCCCGGTTTCCCTGCCTCCAATAAGTCTGACCTGTCACAACTGGTACTGCTCTTAAAACGGAACACGACAGGCACTTGCCTGCAAACCAAGTAAGCAAGGACGTACAACAAACAAGACAGCTACGTACGACGGGGAAGGACAAACCCCCGACGATTAGGTCTGCGGCAACGCTACCGACTGCCCTAACCTCAATCATGCACTTATTCATCCAGTCTTTCATTGACCTACTAGTACACGCTGGACATGACCTCTGTGTGGGTACCTTTCTCATTCGTCCCTTCGCCGGTGCACCTCATTCCTAGTTCACGACGGCATGCCAACGACGACCAAGCTGTATTCTTGCTATTATGTGCTGCCACTCCTAGCCCAGATGAAAAACTGCAATGTTTGAAAGTGTGCGTTGAAGGGGACACGAACAATGCAACTTAGACGGGTGTCCATACACGATGCATACCCAAAAGTCTAATTCGACAACTTCACAGCACCAAGTAAGGGGCGCGACAACATGGATGTGGCACAAACATACGAACACACAAAGCACAAAGATAGATTGCGAGAGACTACATAAGCTTAACAATAGAGGAGTCGAGGTAACCACAAAAGGCACAGTCAAGCTAGATACCCAAATGGCGACTGACCCACGGGTCATTTGCGGCTCCCAACGTGCGGAGCCGCAACAGCTATGGGCCCTGCAATGCAGACGCAGGGCTACTGCGTCACTGGAAACAGTGTCATGCATACTGCTCTGAATCCAACCCCAAAGCGCTAATCACGCAGACATGTGCACCGATGCAACTGAAGGCGCTTAGGCAACTACCGACAAGGAGGTGCATTGTATGCAAACAAATGGTGGACCCACTATCACAAACGCCCCTCTTCACGCACATGCGTACACCAATTTCCCTAGCCGAATGGCATGCATGTCAGGATGCCCCTGCTGAACGTATTGCTGTTAGCCATGTTACCAATGAGCTACCTAGGTGGTGGCTGCTTACGAAGCCGCGTAATAAAGGCAAGGAAGGGTACAAAGAGAGGGCATGCATGGGCTCACACCGCTCCTCGCTCCCCCCGTCAATACAGCCTCCATGCGAGCACTGCCTACTGTTATCTAGTGATGCATTGCCGGTTCAAAATAATCTCCTGCTGCCCTACCCCTAACCACACTACTGTAACCTAAAATCACCGAAATAGCAAACCTCCAGCGGTCATGGCAACCACCTAACCGTATGGCTATATGAACCCGACGTATGGCTATATATGTAACAAGGCACAATGACAACCAAATCCAATGCATGTCAACCTCGCAGCAAGCAACAAAGGCAACGGACTAGACACGTACTTTTCTCTTCGCGGCCAGTTATTTTAACACACACAGCACAGCAGCAAGCGCAACGCGCCTTCCTGCACATCTTCCAGCCGCTTTCCCCGGTGTTCATATTTCCAAGTAGTACGACATACTTCCCATCAGCCCCAGTGCTCGTCCAGCGGCAGCCAGTCCAGGCTACCACCCGCTGGTGGCAATTGTGATGGGAGCGGCGGGGACCTCAATCCTTGCTGCTGCTGCTGCGGTGGTGGCAGCGGCTGGGATGGAGGTTGTGGTTGGGCAGGTTGGGACGGCGCCGGAGCCGGTGCCATCACGCCGGTGCTATGTTGCTGAGGGAAGCAGAAATGGTAATGCTGCTGCTGGTGCTGCTGCTGCTGGTGGTGGTGCTGCTGGTGCTGGTGCTGGTGCTGCTGGTGCTGGTGGTGCTGCTGGTGGTGGTGCTGCTGGTGCTGCTGTTGCTGCTGTGCGGGCGGAGCCGCCCCACCGATGGCGTAAGTCATGCCGCCGCCGCCGCCGCCGCCGCCGCTGCCGCTGCTGTTGCGACGATAACCGTAGGCAGCGACGACGACGCCGGCAGCTCCTTCTGTAGCATGGTGTGGGTTAGGGTTGTACGCAAGATGATGAGGCGCCCCATCACCACTGCTGTGCGGCTCCAGCCCGTTGGGTTCCAGGGATCTTGCAGCACCCAAGGCTCCGAAACCAACGAAGCCACCGCCAGAACCGCAGCCATCAGCAGTGGAGCCGCTAGCAGCAGGGGCGGTGTTACCTTCCCAGCTGCCCATGGGGTACCCAGCTGTGCGCATATCCATGCCGCCTGTGTCGACGGAAAAGGGCGTGGGAAGAGGCAGCTGCTGTTGTTGTTGCTCCTGCTGTTGCTGTCGCCGCCCTTGCTCTTGTTGCCACTGCTGTTGCTGCTGCAGAGCAGCTCGCTGGTCGGACGCTTGATGGAGCTCTTGATACGTCTTGGGTTGGCGAGGGTAAGGCTGCTGCTGCAACAGCGGCAGCGTCGCCAGCTCTTGCTGTTGCAGCGGTGGCTTTAGTGACGCTGGCGTTACGTCGGTGTCATGGAGGGTGACAACCGACGACGTCGGAGGCACCAGGCCGTCGCCGCCGCTGCCGCCGCCGCCGTTGTTGCTTGCCGTACGATTACGATACGGCAAGGGCGGCAGCGGCGGCGGTGCTTGTGGCATGCTTGCAGACGGAGAGGCTGCTGGGAAGTCCTCAGCGGAATAAACGCGTGATCTCGCCACGTAAAGGACAGGCCCTGACACGGCCGAGGCGACATCGCCAATGCTTCCTGCGAAGGATTGTCTTGTGGGCTGTCCTGAGGCCTGTAGCGGTACGTGGCAGTACGGCGGTTTTGGGTTAGGTGTGGTTATGCTACTTGCTGTGGAACTTCGGTAGCTGCATACGGGTTCTCTCTGCCGTACAGGAGTTACAGCAATTTCAAGCACGGCTGCATGGGATGCCTGTTTGGAGACACTTGGCAATACCTCCAGGCATTATCCGCACGCTCCTACCTGCTGCGGCAGCCCAACATTGGCAACGTCACAGCCCCGGCATCAGCATTACCGCTATGATCCGAGACCGCTAGGCTCCCTCCGACCCGACACGGCATAACATGAGGTGGAGTACCGATACCCATCCTGCCACGGGACCCTACCTGGCTAAACGGCACATCGCCGGCGCCGGCGCCGCCGCAAGGGCCGCCGCCGGTGACGCCAGCGGGGGCACACGTCAGCAGAGCGCCGCCGTTGGACGAGCAACGCTGTGGCGGCGGCGGCGGGGGGAGTCCGCCCGTATCCATGGTGCCGTGAGAGTACGTCAGGGCGCCTCCGCTGTCGCTGACCAAGGTCGGGCCACAGCCGCCGCCGCCGCCGCCGCCGCAGAAGCTCCCGCCGCAGCTGACGTGGCGGCGGCCAGTGAAGGACCCGCCGCCAGCGGCTGCGGCGTTGCAGATGCCGCCGCTGTTGTTATTAACGAGGTCTACAGGCGTCAGTGCGCCGCTTGCCTTGCGAGCCAGCTGCTGATGCGCCTCTTGTTGCTGAATTGTTACAGGTGGCGACGAATGGGACCAATGGGAGTGGAATGAGGACTTGTGAGGTAGATAATGGGGTTGTGGCGGCGGTGGCGGCGGTTGACCGTTAGCAGTCCATTCCGTCGTCGCTGACGGCGGCGGCTGCGATGGCAACGACAGCGACGGCGCCAGTGACGGCCGGGATGGCAGCGGAAGGCCGACGCCGCCGCCGCTGCCTCCGCCTCCATCGCCGTTTGTTTCGTCCATCTGACCGTAGCTTGACTTCCGCATGCACGGCAGCTGCGATGGATGCGGCACCGGTGCAGACAACTGCCGCTTCAGCAGCTGCTGCTGCTGCTGCTGTTGGGGGCCGCCAGAAGGGCTTTGCTGCATGTAATCGCGATCGAGGCACCGGGAGACAGCCGCAAGCTGACGATGGGTTTGTACGGAAACGGTAGCGGCATCGCCGCCGCTGCTGTAAGGATTATGCGCACGGCCCCAGTCCATCGCTTCGCCGCTGCCGCCGCCGCCGGCGCTGCCAAGAGGCGCCGACGGCGGCGGGGCTCTGTCAGCAACACCGCCGCTGGCAACGCCGCCACTGCCGTCAGTCTGTACGGCAGTGTACTGCAGCTGCATGGGCCCTGTCGTAGACGCAGCGTGACTCAGCGCCGCCACGCCGCCAGGAACGTCGGCGTCGCTACCGCCGCCGCCGCCGCCGCTAACGGCAACTGGGTTCCAGCCGGCCTGAGCATGAGCGACTCCGTCAGCAGACGACCAAACCGTGGCAGCTCCGACGTCGCCGCCATCTCCGCCACCGCTAGGTCCGTACACGTCAGGTCCGAAATCCGAAGGACCGATCGTGGTGGCGGTTGCAACAAACGTGGGCGGCGGTGGTGCCGTTGGGGCTGTTGAGGTAACGGCAGCGGAGGGCATGAAACGTTGCGATGACGGCGCCGCCGACGCATGAAAGCCAGCGTCGCCGTCGCCGCCGCCGCCACCGCCGCCACCGCCGGTTCCGTACATGCCGTACATCGTGCTTGGCATGTCGTTCTGACCGTCGGTGCCGTTGACGCCGATGGCGCCGGCGGGGAAGGTAGCGCTGGCGTCGGCGCCGCCGCCGCCATCGCCGAATGCGTCTTGGGAAGCCGTACGGCGACGGCGGCGGGCAGCGGCGGCGGACGCTGCTTGGATGTGTTTGGTCTTGTGGTAGTACTGCAGGCGGTTGGTATCGGAGGCAGCAGGACGGCAGGCGTCTGTGAACGTGTGGGCTCGAAACGAGAGACGTTGCATGCCAGCATGCGTGCACGCAACGCCTTGGTATGACTCAATGCATGGATCAACAACGACTTTCAAGCTTGTCCAACATGGTCAGTGTACATGCCGGTGTGCCCAGCGCAAACTAGAACCACTCGTCAGCACAAAGTCACACATCCTCTGCACACCTTGCGCACACACGCCCAGTTCCTACTCGCGGCCAGTTTTCTTAACACGCCCAGTGCTCGCGGTCAGTTCTCTTAACACACACCCAATTTCCTTAACAAACACCCGCGCGAAAAAGTTCCAACTTGTGGCCAGTTTTGTTAACACGCCCCCGCCCACATACCTTGAGCTTGTACTTGGCCTGTCGGATCTCATCCAGCCGCGTGTCAATGGTGTGATCTGGGTCGATCAGTACGGCAGAGATCTCATCTGAGATCTGTTGCATGATGCGGTGCTTGTCGGAGAGTTTCATGTTGCGGTCACCACGGATGGTCTCCTGCCGAGGGGCGGGTGGGAAAATAAAAGAAGCATACCCAATTTACAGGATGAGGGCAATGAGGGTGTTCGAGACGTGGACGAATGCTTGAGGACTCCAACTAACCCAACTAACCCAACTAACCCAACAACCCTAGCCCTACTCACCTGCAAGTTCTGCAGACTGGCGATCTTGCGGTGAGGCCAGCGCAGCACGTTGTGCGCTCGGCAGCTGCGCTTGAGGCGGGACAGGCTGACGTTGAGGCAGCGCGCGGCGTCTTTACTGGGCAGGTGGTAGACCTGCGGGGAAGCGATGCGGGGGACACAGAAGCGAGTGCATGACGATCCGGAAATGATAAGAATACTATAAGGAAATTAAGGAAATTATGGAATCTATAAACAGGAGATTACGATTACGGTGCTAAACAAGTGCGAAGACAGCAAGCGTTAGCGGGCGAGCGTTGCCGGAATGCGACTGCCGGGATGCGGAGGGTTCTGTGGTGCCCATGATCCCACGACTGGATGCACCGGAGCACCACGCGTCACACACCACCACCCCCAGTGTAACCGCCCGTCAAACGCCTCCCACACGCTTCCTTGTTACCTAACAACCTCCAACACTTTTCAAACGTACCGCTCGGGCAGTTTTAGCTGCCGATTGGCTAGATACCACCATTCTCCCTGCCTCCGCCCTCAACTACGGTATACGGTATACGGTACATCCCGCCCCTTTCAAAACTCACCGATTGCAGTTCAGCCAAACTGACTGCGTCGTCTATGACCTCCATCCCTCCGCCCTCGTGCCGGTGATGCTGAAAGTCACCGAACTGTTCGTCCATGCCGTCGTCTTCCTCACTCCCACCCCCGCCCCCGAAACCACCGCTCCTCGCATATGCCATCGACGCTGTCGTCTCCATTAGCGTCGATGAAACCGGTGAAGACCGTACCGCTAGCAAAGTACCGCTGCTGGCAGCCGCCGCCGTAGGAGAACCAAAGCTGTTGCTTCTGTAGCCAACAAAAGGGGCAGTAGAAGTAGTTACCGTGCCAATGCTGCTGCCGGCGAACGCCCAATGCTGAGGTACGGCAACCGCTCCTGCTCCTGGTGGTACTGTTATTGTTGGTGCAGCAGTTGCAGTTGCAGTTGCAGCCTCCGCCGGGGTGCTGCAAACCGACGCAACAGCTCTCCGTACACTGGACGCATCTCGCATTGCCGCAGAAGCATGGCTGCCTGCAAGCGACGATGAACCGGGCTCAATTGGGGATGCTGCCGCTGCTGCTGTTGTGGTTGCTAGTGTCAATGGTGCCGCATTCGTTGCCGCTGCAGCTGCTGCTGCTGGTGTTGTTCGCGTCGTTGCGATGGCTGTTGTTGCCACTGCCGAAGCGCCAGGAAAGCAATGCACTCCTGGGTAATTGCTAGCGGCTGGGTAATCGAATGCAGGGGTATCTACCGGGCTTTGGGTTTGCAGCTTTGGCCAGTAGTAGCTACCACCAACGTTGTTATGCTGTTGGCCAACGGAATAGCTCGCGGTTGCTAGGGCGGTTGTAGCAGTGCCAGGCGGCTCATGCTGCTGCAGCTGTTGAAAGGAAGGCGCTGTGTAAGGATGATGAGCACAAGGGTCGGTTGTTAGGATGGGGTTGTCTGGCTGCTGGTGAGGATGCTGCGATGGTCGGACCGGCCCTGCACACCACAGCACCGACATCCGAGGCGTTCGCTAAGGCGATTACGGCATATAAAGGGATCCGTCGTAGAAGCTGTATATGAAGGATAGGTATGCCTACCTGGCGAGAAATGCATGGGAATGGGTTGAACCGAGGATTCCGCGAGCAATGGCCCAGGACGGAGGTGAAGTCCAAGTGTTGTACTGCAAAGGGAACCTGCGGCCTCGGAAGTACGGCATATACAAGGAGGAGCGTTGGACTGGAAGTCTGAGGCTCACCTTGCACGGCTGACTTGGTTGTGGAGCTGATATCTCAGCAGTTGGAAAGCATGGCGTGCCGGCTCGAAGGTCGCAAGCAAGCGCGTTGCTGCCAACCGTTAGCGACAAGCGCAACGACTTACCCTCCGTCGAGCCGTTAATTGTAGCCTGGAACGAGCGCCAACTTATGCAATTTCCAAATCGTAAATATACTATGTACTTGTATGTGTCGCTGCTCAGGCGAAGAATTATGTCCATGGAAAGCTTCATTGGCGTGTGTACGGCAACTCCCAAGCCCAACGCATGCACGACTTGCATTCATCGTCACGTTACGCAATCCTGCACTCCGGTCTGACTAGGATTGCTGATCAGTAGGAGTTACTACTGTTGGTGAACCAGCAGTATACTTGCCATCGCGAATTGGTCCATGGCCGTGGGTCTTTCGACCCAGGCATCTAGAGCTCGCTCCATTACAATTAGTCAAAGGTCCCAAACGTCACATTTAGGCTTTACCTTTCGCAAGCCAGGCAGCTGCGGCATTGTCAGGATTCCTAGCACTCGCCTTAAAGCAACCACAGCCGCTATGAGCCTCGTAACCAAGACCTTCTTCCTTGATAGTTTTGCGCAGCGGCAATGGGATGATCCCAACTACGGCGGCACGCGCGTGTCGTACGACAAAGCGGCCTTCGTGCAACGAATTCAAGAGGAATTCGATAAGGTAGGACCGCAAAAGCAGTCTTGGGGGCAACGATGGTCTGCTTAACACTCTTGATGGGAGCAGGAGGGACCTTCTTGTATCCCTGCCAGCCCGCCACTCCCAGCCCCTCTGATTCCCGTTCCACCTCAACCGACCTCCTTGCACTACCCGCTTCATCGCTACCTTCTATCCCCCTCACTCCCCAACTCAAGACAGCACATTCGACATCCTTCGTTTCCTTTCCCCATTCCATCATCCTCGTGTGTATCCTGAACGTGTCTCCCTCCCTCTCCAGGGTTCCCCCCTAGTCGACGGCTACGCTCCCTTCTGCAAGCACATCTTCGTACCCAACTTCGTGGGAGCTCGGCTGGGTGCGCTGCGGGTTACTCCCGACAACGCCAGCAAACTGCGCAGCGGCTTCACCCGGCGCCGACCCGAGGAGCTTGCCGTACTGTCCAGGTGCGTGCTAAGATAAGCTCTGTCAAGGTGTGTGAAGATAAGCTCTATCCAGGTGTGTGTTGAGCTGAAACAAGAGCAAGCAGTTGGGATAGGTTCGCATGTGAACCGCGAGTAGAGGCAAAAACAGAGGGAAAACAGAGGTAAACAAACAGGTGTGTGTGTGTTGAGAAAGCTTGCCAGGTGTGTGTGACGGGGAGGGAGGGATTGGAGAAAGAAGCTGGCTGCGCGTTGGACCGTGGTACATAATGTGATTTGAAACGGATGATGAAGTCCCCATACAAAAACGTCAGGGGGAGCGATGTGCTAACACAGCAACCCTACCCATCAGGTGGTTCTCCGCTGCTGATGTGGAGGTTCCCGAGGCCAAGTTTCTGGACATCATCCTCTACTCGCGCGAGCAGCTGCTGGCCGAGTATGCAGCCATGCCCGCAAAAGACAAATCCGGAGCTGCTGCTGCTGCTGCGGGGGAGGGGCAGGAGGCGGATGCGGTGCTGCCTGATGCGCCCTGGGGTATCATCAGCGTGAAGGCGCAGGATGAACCGTTCGAGACGCCCATGCAGCCCATCACCATGATGAGGAACGCGTTGGGGCGGGAAGAAGGCGGGAGCGGGGTGGCGCTGGTGAGGGAGAAGTATGAGGCGGCGGTGGCGTATTGGGAGGAGCATGCGACGATAGTGGAGGGCGCGAGGCCGAATGGGGAGTAGTGGAGGTGGGGGTGGGTAAGCTTGGGGTGGTATGGATGGGAGTGGTGGAAAGGGTGAGGTGGTGGGGATGTTGGCTGTACGGTGGGGATGTTGGCTGTACGGTGGGGATGTTGGCTGTACGGTGGGTTAAGGCTGGAGCCTGGAGGGTTGGGGGCGTGGGCGGATGAGACCTGAAGAGAACGCGAGGGGGTCATTGGGAGGGGCAATCGGATGGAAATGGAGGGGGCCAACGGATTGAGGAAGATGGACGTTTGCGAGCGAGGTGTCTGCGAGCGTTGGAGTGTAAAAGGAAGTTACAAAATAGAGCAATGGCGTTGAAAGCATATTACGAAAGCAACGCTAGCGACTATGTGTAATGGACCCGCAGCTGCTAAGCTGACCGACCGTCTAGTTGTACGTCTCATCTCCGGGTGAGGAGCTCAGGCGCTCTCATAAGCCAACCCATGTAGCCATATATCTGAGCATATGTAACAACGCTAAGTTCCTGCGCGGAAGTAGAAGCTCTTGCTGACAACATTCCCAGGCAAGCCGTTCGGCCGTTGAGCCAAATCAAGTTGCAAGTCAAGACGATCCTACACCGCGAATACCATATATTATATACTTGCTGTCCATCTAAGGCCTGTTCGATCTGAGCGCCGAGCCCGATAGGCAGCGCACCTTGCAAAGCGACTGCGATGGCGCTCGCCTCGCCACTGCTGCGTAGGCAGGTGAGGTATATAATAACATCGATCTAAGCAAGTAGAAAAGGCATGGGTTAAGTGTTGATTGTTTCGCCCTCGGCCTTGTATGTTGTAGCGCATCGCAAGCGTGGCTGGGGCTTTCATGCCAGGTCCCGTCGCGGTGCACCGCTGCCATCCGTCTTCGCACTTTGGGTGCAGCTCAGCATGCTTGCCACAAAGCCCTGCTCGGACCGCCACCGGTCGCGCAGCGCATTCGTTGACATCGTCACGCCTGGCCGCGACGGCAGCTTCAGATTATCAGACCACAACCAGTGCTTCTATAACCATCGATGCATCAGAGCTTGATGTTGGGTACAGCAGCGTCCAAGGTGTCAGAGACACAATGGTGCGTACCCATGGTCATGGCCGGGCATCCATCAGCGTTTCTTCCACCGGCCGTTCCACACATCCCGCGAATGTCATTCCGTGCTTGTGCAACCGCTCCTTCATACCCGCCCCGGCAGCCTCGCTTACGTACGGCAAACACCACCCACTCTACCTTGGCCTCCTCCTTGACACTCGTTCCCCGCATCCTTTCCCCGCATCCTTTCCCCGCATCCTTTCCCCTGCATGCACGCCCAGGAGGACGAGGTGCAGGTGCACTTCAACCCGCAGGGGCACTACCTGTACGCGGCAGTCTTTGACGGCCACGGAGGGGACCAGGCAGTGCAGTGGCTGGCGCGGGAGCTGCATGGGCAGGTGTGTGTGTGCTAAGAAAAACTGGCCGTGTGTGTGTGTGTGTGCTCGGTCAGTGAATGCCGGTGAAGATGGTGGTGTGGGTGTGTTGTGGCAGAGCCAGACGACGGCTGCCAAGACGAGGGGCAGCTCATGCAGGGATGGAAGGGAAGCGCAGGTGTCCCTCCCTGACACCAGGCTGGGCTGGGGTGCGTGTTGACGGTGCCTGTGGACCCGCGCCCCGCTGCATGTGTGCCCATGCGGGTGCCCTGCGTGTGTGTTGCCCTGTAGCTCGCCCGCTGATGCCCCCATTGCGCTGCTGGGAGGACCCATCTCCGTCCTCCTCATCCTCGTCCTCTTTCTTTCTTTTTTGTGTTTAACACAACCTCCACCCTCCGTCTCCAACCTTCTCCTCCACCCTCCACCCCCACTCCCCACAGGTGGAGAGCTGCCTGGTAGGTCGAACCCTCTTCGGAGGAGGAGCTGCAGGAGCAGGCAGCGGACCGTCCTCTTCCTCTGCCAGCCCCTCGCCTTCTCCCTCGTCCAGTGGCAGCAGTAACGGCGGTAGCGGCAGCAGCTGCAGCACTAGCAGCAAGCACCACCATGCGACCGCAGGCGCTAGCAGCAGCGGTGGGAAAAGCGGTACGACAAGCAGCCGCAACACGACTAACGCGGCTAACAACAACAACAACGGCACTAGCAGCAGCAGTCCTCCCAGCAGCGGCAGCAGCAGTAACTTGGGCATTAGCACGCGCGAGATCGTACCGCAACGGTTAATTGATTCTTTCCACACAGCAGATAGGCAGTTATTGTCGTACTTGGAGGCGAGTGGCGGCGAGGAGGCTGCTCAGAGCGGCTCCACGGCGACAGTGGTGGTGATCAAAGATGACAAGCTGGTCGTGGCAAACGTGGGAGACAGCCAGGTGCGATGTGACCCATGGGTCGGTGGGTCGGGCGGGCTTCGGCAGCTGCATGAGAGATTAAACCCACTGCTACAACCCTGCGTTGCGGCTTCAGCTGTTGTTTTTTACGGTATCCAAGCTCCCTTATCGCCTCCTCCAGAAACCTCGTAGTCTCGTCCCTTGGGGTTTTGCTTTTGTTTCTTCCATCTGAGTCACCGCCATACCGGTTCCCTTCCTTGCTCCCGTCCTTGCACTTCAGGCCGTACTAAGTCGCAAGGGCACCGCCGTAACGCTTGCGCACTCACACCGAGTGTACGGCAGCGGTCCCGACGTGGCGGCGGAGATCGAGCGAGTCAAGTCGGTTGGCGGTTGGGTCGACGACGGCCGAGTGTGCGGCGTGCTTGCCGTCTCACGCGCCTTTGGCGACTGGGACTTTAAGGGCGCTGGGCTTCAACGACTTCTGGAGATGGGAGTCGAACGCGGGTTCTGGGACTCGAGCTTCGCGTCGCAGCAACGATTTAGCGCGGATCCAGTTGTCGCCACTCCGGATGTCACCGAAACCATCCTAAGTTCTGACGACGAATTTCTAATCGTCGCGAGCGACGGGCTGTGGGACGTACTGCCTCCTCGCGAGGCCGTACAATGGGCTCGAAAGGAGTTCAAGGCGAAGAAGGACGCGAGCCAAGTGGCAGCGAGTCTCGCGGGCCTTGCGCTAAAGCGGTACAGTACGGATAATGTGGCGGTTGTGGTGGTTGACTTGCAGGGGGCGGAGGCGCGTACGGCAGCCAAGACGGTTGGTGGGTCTCGGGGACAGCAGGGGGGAGCGCGCAAGGGCGGGTTCCTGGGCGGGTTGTTTCGGTCGGGGTGATGCGGATGGGGATGTTAGGGTCATGTGGAGAGTGGTGGAGGCTGGGAGGGAGAGGCGGTGCTGCTGAGGCGTGGTGGCGGTTGGGGGTTGTTGGTCGATGTGCGTAACGATCCCTGTGTGTAGGCAACAGGGGCAACATGCTCCCTAGCTGTGTTAAGGGTTTGAGGGGACTGCTGCATGACGTACACGCATGCGGAGGAATGCTGACCCGCAGTGCTTACCCAGTTGCGAATCGTACGGAAGCCGGTGTGATGTGCACGGCAAACGATTACGGAGCATGGACCACGTCATTATGGTGCCCCGTACGAATGAGTGCACTGCGTAGAAGTGAGGAGACAATTTGTGTGTTGCTGGCTTGGTTCCGTCGCCTATGCCACAGGTAATGATATGAGGATTGAGAGGAGCACGTGGAGGGTTGGTTAATGGTTGCACGTAGGGGGGCTGACCGAAGGAAAAGTAGGCAGGGAACGTTTGGCACGCAATGTGATGTTGCGCAAACCTGTAGCTACATATGGTTTAGCCTATTACCTGGCATCCCCGTGTGTGTCGTCCTTGGGTCTAGCCGCGACTTGGGGTGAAAAAGAGAAAACCGCGTGTGGGGGCTACAATGCTGTACAGACATACCTTAGTACGATATAAACTTATGGATGCGCGTACAAGGTGAGCAACTGAGCATCTACTCTTGAGAGAATGGAGAGATAGCTGCAATTGCGGGTTGTAGCTGTTACCGGTATTGTTTATACCAGGCTCTTGCCGCATGGGTCTATTGAGAGTGCAATACACGAAGATGGCAAGGTTCCAGTTGTCACGGCTGTTTCCCCTTCCGTAGAAGACACATATGAAGTGTCTACTTATCTTGCCTGCACGCATTGAAAGAAAGCCATTTATGCGGTCTATTGAGGCCATGAGGAAGAGACAATCATGGGTACTGCTGCTGATTTGATGACTTTACAGCGCATATGACGAGCTGCCCTATGTGGGCCGCTTCTGGCATATGGCTTGTTCATGCCCAGCGGCACAATGTGTACCGCCTAGCCGCCATGTAATGTACTATACGGTAAACGAATCCCTCGCACGGATGTATGCATCCAACACTCCTAGCATTTCAGTGCAAAAGCTGCCCCTTAAGAACCCCAAGGGAAGACCCATGTTGCCTAGCATCCCACCCACGCAACCCAAGCGCGGAGCCCACCCCACGCACGCATGTATGCACGCTTGCCCCGTCCTGAAAAGAGCACCGCTTCCCAAACGCCAGTTGCATACTTAATAGCATGCATGCCTTTCTTATACTCCCTAGACCGCACCGCCCTCTTACAGGGGACCGCGAAATTAACAAGTACCAAAAATACCCAAGCCCCCATCCACCCGACCCCGCTCATCCCTACTCCTCTCGCGCTCCTGCTGCTGTGCCACAGCTGCCGTACCGCTTACTTGACCTGCTTCATCACCCACTCCATCCCCTCTTTCAGGCCGCTTCCCGTCCGTGCGGAGCAGGCCTGAATCTGCCAGGGCCGGTCGCGGATGGAGGTGAGGTCAAGTGACTCAGCAATCTCGTCAGCTGGGGAAGCAGTCACCAGGTCCTGCTTGTTGGCGAAGACCAGCAGCGGCACGCCCGTCATCTTCTCGTCCTGGAGGAAAAGGAGCGAGGGAGGGGGAGGAAAGGGGCAGGAATAGGGCGGCATATTCAAGAGTTTGCGTGCCGGTCGAGGGAAGTTGGGAGAGCAGTTAAGCACTAGCCCTTGTACTTGCTAAGGGGTTTGCACGCATACCTGCAGCAACGTGTCCAGCTCATTCTGGGTCTCGTCCAGGCGCTTTTGGTCAGCGGAGTCGATGACGTAGATCAGCGCGTCCGTCTGTTCAAAGTAGTTTCGCCTACACAGAGCATGCTACTTGTCGGTACCTTATACCAGCTTGTATAACAAATGCAGTTTTGAGACTTGCCAGTAAGGCCGAATAGACTTTTGGCCGCCAATGTCCCAAATTTTCAGGTTGAACCCGTCTCGCGACAAGGACTTGATGTTAAAGCCCTGAAAAAAAGGAGTTGCGTGTAAGTATGGAAGGAGAAAGTACTAGATCAATCTCCCAACAACTGCGCACCTGCGTGGGCGTAATGGTGGTGATGTCCTCTTCGCTAAGCGCCTTTAGGATTGTCGTTTTACCGGCATTGTCCAGCCCTAGAACAAGAAGGCGTGCCTGCAGCCATCAACCAACGATAAGCATACTGCAGGCCCTTGGAAGGAGGCAAACATGGACTGTGCATGTCACCTCGCCCTCCTTCTTCTTCAGCCCACGGATAAGCGTCAGCAGGCCCTGTAAAATGTAATAACGAAGTCTGTAAGATCCGGCTTGTATGTTTGCAGCAAAGAAAGCGGTGGGGTCATAGGAAGCGCACCATATTGAACAGGTGGAGTTGCTCTTCTCAAATTTCCAGACTATTTCACAGACGCTACCTAAGTCAGCGGTTGCAGCTTTTTAGGTCGGTAGGCCTCCCGTTAGAAGTGATACTGCTTCCATGTACGACAGCACGAGCGTTGTTCGCCATAGCTGCAGACAATGTAATGCCGGGCCGCGTCTTGAGGAGTAAGCAGCTTGAAATACCATCCACATTCAGGGTTGCTTAAGGCGGTATCCATCGGAGGCACCTCTCATAAAGCTGAAACGGGTATACAATAGGAACGCACGTAACATACCGATTGTGACGATTAATCTGTTCCATCGTTGTTGATGGCTGGCGGTAAGCTAGCACGGCTTCTGCAAGCCGTTGGCGGCGGCAATCGCGACGAGCAGCGCGCCGCGGGTCCTATAACAAAGCGTGTTCGCGCCCAAGAGGCAAACGGAAGCGCTCATAAAAGCAGCAGTATCCGTTGCACCCCAGCGGAAGCCGGTTCAAGGCGACCTGAGCATGGCCTTACCACATCCTCGACGGCAGCTGCTGCTGCAAGCGATGCGCCAGCACGCATCCGCAAACGGCGGCGGGGTGGAAGCAAGAAAGCAGCCCCCGCTAAAGCACCTGTCGCCAAGCGTTCCCGCCGTGAGGCAGGCCCTGCTACCAAGGCGGCATTGACAGCTGCAGCTGGAGGTTCAAAGTCCAGCGGAGCTGGAGGCGCCGTACCAGCGGCAGAGGACTTAGAGCTTTTGGAGGCGGAACGCCAGAAGCTTCTAGCTGGCAGGTAGGTGCTGATACGTCCTGATAGGTTGCACGGTCCAGGCCGGAAGGGGTCCCAGCTGCTTGGTGGGCTTGCAAGTTGGGTGCTGGTAGGCTCCATGTATGGTTGTACGACCTGCTTTTATGGTTGTCCTCACGGCTTCACATCTGCTCACGGGAGCACCTGCTTATCTCTTTGGGCTCACCTTTCCCCGAACACACCCACTGGCTACAGGTCGGCTTACGAGGCTCTCATGGACGAGCTGTCTAGGGTGCGTCATGACGGCGGCAAAGGCAGCAAGGCCGGCAAGGGCAGCGGCAGTAACGCTGCTGGTGCTGGAGGGGGCGGTGGAGGTGGTGCCCAGGCGGCGCTCAGGGCGCACCTGCAGCGGCTGAGGAATGAGCAGCTTGGGGAGAGCAGCGAGGAGGAGGAGGAGGGCGAGGAGGAGGAGGAGGAGGGCGAGGAGGGAGGGAGCGAGGATGGCAGCAGCGACGGCAGTGATGAGGGTGAGGAGTTGGCGGACGGTGAGGAAGAGGAGGACGAGGAGGAAGGCGAGGAGGAGGAGGAGGAGGAGGGCGATGGATTTGGGACAGGTCTTGCACACAAAGCGAAGAACGCTGCTGCAGCTGCGGCGGCGGCGGCAGCTAACGGGAAAGCAGCGAAAGGCAGCAGCGCGGCTGCTAAGGGCAACGGGAAGAGCGTCAGCGAAAGCGGAGACGGCGAAGAGGACGAGGATGAGGAGGAAGGGGGCAGTTCAGAGGGTGCCGACGACGACGGCGGCGATGGCAGCGGTGCCGCCAACGTCACCAACGGTACGGCAGCAGCGGTTGCGGCGGTTGATTGTTGGTCTCGTCACGTGGGTCGAGAGCTGAGCGAGGCCGAGGCGGCGGAGCTGGAGGGCGGTCGGGTGAGTGGAGGGACGAGCGCGGGCGGGGCGGGGCATGGGTCTGGAGGAGGAAGGGGTGCGAGAGCTTGGAATGCTGTTGTAATGTGACGGCGACGAGGTGAAAACGCTGGTTGAAAACGTTAGGCGGCTTACTCAGCAATTGCCGTGGGCTCGACGAGTGCTCGAAGAAAGTTCTAATTGCCGTGACACCCCTGCCCCCCACCCACCCACCCACACAGTCCGACTACCGGGATGCACCGCCGGCGGAGGTCCACAGCACCGCATGGGGTCCCAATGCACGCTGGCAGCTCAGGCTGTACGGCAACGCCGCCGCTGCTGCCGGCCGACGGAACAAGCGCGGCGCCACTGACGGCAGCAGCGCCGCCGCGGCGAATGGAGTCGTTGCCAACGGTAATGACAACGGCATCGTCGGGCTAACGGAACTCCCGGCGGCGCCGGCGACGCTTCCTGCGTACGGCGTTAAGGAGCGGTTGATCACCCGTTGGCGGGAAGTACGACAAGAGGACGCTGCCGCCGCCGCAGCCGGTACCTCCGGCGCCGCCGTTAACCAACCGGAAGGCGACTTCTCAACCGCCCAGCAGCGCTCGTTGTTCTCCCTACTGAACGCCTACGTCGACGTGCACCTGCCGGCTCGGCCGTACCCCACCTCCGCGTCGGATCCAGATCCCACCATGGATGCCGTACTGTTGCACGCGTTGAACCACGTGGCTAAAACCGCTGACCGCATCAAAAAGAACAACCATGCGCTGCAGCAGCAGCAGGAGCAGGAGCGGCTGCGGCGGGAGCAGGAGGAGCGGGAACGCCAGCAGCAGCAGGAGCAGCGTAAGAAGCAGCTGCAGCAGCAACAGGGGGGAACAAAGGGAGACACGGAGGACCCCGCAGCAGCGCCGCCACCGGCAGCAGCAGCAGCTGATGTCAGCAGCGGGCTTGTGGGTGGCACGCCTCGTGACCAGGGTTTCACCCGGCCCAAGGTGTTGATGCTGCTGCCGCAACGCAATTTTGCGTTCCGGGCTGTACGGCGGTTGGTGGCGCTGGCGCTGCGGGAGACACGGTCGGATAGCGTGCAGGTGGGGGTGTAAGGGCGTTGCTTGCGGCTTGCCCCTTCCCAGCGCTTCTCCTACCTCATGACGTTCCCGTCTGATTCCCACCGCCTCCTCTCCTTTCTCTCCTCTCACTCTGCCCCACCCTGCCGCCTCCTATCCCCATTGCTTTCCCCTAGCCTGTGGTTTCCACCGTTGTTTTCACCTACCGGTAATTGTACTTACTCCCCTCACCCTCCCCACCACACCACACACGCCAGGGCAAGGAGAAGTTCGTGGAACAGTTCACCGACCCGGATGAGATGCAGGACGAGGAGAGCCTGGGTGAGTGGGGTGAGGGAGACAGCGCTTGTTGGGGCGCGCTGGCGGACGGTGCTGTCTTCTGTGCCCCCCTCCTCAACCACTTGACCTCCTCCTCCTTCTCTCTCCTCCCCCGCAGACCCCGCCACACGCGCCCGCCTGGCCGCTAAGCCCGCGGACCACCGGGCCCTGTTCGCGGGTAACGTGGACGACCACTTCCGACTAGGCATCAAGGTGACCAAGGGCGCCATCCGGCTCTTCGCGGACCTCTACCAGTCGGACATTATCGTGGCGTCACCTGTGGCGCTGGTGAGGGGCACTGAGGGGCAGCAGGGGGAGGAGGGTAAAGAGGAAGGGGCTGACTGACCGTGTTGGTTGGCTGTTGAGGGGCAGGGAGAGGGGAGGCATGTAGGCGGCTGGGAGTTGGTGTGGAAGTAGGAGGTAGTAGGAGGTAGCAGCAGCAGCGTAGCTACCGGTAACAACCATGGAAGTCTGGGAAAGGGGATGCTGGTCATGACCCATGTAGTGTCCCCTTAACGGTGCGAGGGCTCAACACTCCCCACGCTTCCCCACCACACCATGCTCCACCTCCCCTTTGTAACTATCCACTTCACCGGTATACTATGTACCAACTGCACCCCTCCTCCCCCCACCCTTATCCATCCCTCCCTCCCTGCCAGGCCACCAAGCTCGCCGAGGACGCCCGCGCCGACCCGCACGCCGCCCCCGACTTCCTCTCCTCCATCGAGCTCCTCATCCTGGACCGCACCGACGTCATGACCATGCAGAACTGGTCGCATGTGGAAACCGTGGTTGCCGCACTCAACCGCCTGCCACGTCAGCAGCACGGCACCGACATCATGCGTGTGCGGGATTGGTACCTGGCGGGCAGGGCGGGACTGTACCGCCAAACGGTGCTGGTGGGCTCGTTTGCGAGTCCGCATGTGAATGCGCTGGCCAGGGCGGGGGGCAACCATGGGGGCGCGGTGAGGCTGGCGGTGGATCAGCCCGGGGTGCTGAGTCGCGTGGTGCCGCAGGTCCGGCAGCTGTTTGAGCGGTTTGCTGCGGCCAGTGCGGCGGAGGCGGGAGATGCGCGGTTCGAGTTTTTTAGCCGGGCGGTGTGGCCGAGGATCAAGGATTCGGGCGCGAAAGGTAGGAGGGAGATAAAGAGGAAACGACTAATTGATAATGCGTCATCGTGGTTTGCATCATGCAAGGCAGGGAGAGGAGCAGAGGAGGGTTGGGATGAGCGGGAATGGATGAAGTAGGCTGCCGACGGGTCGGGGCATGGAGGATGTGTTGAACACCTGTATGCTTACAGCCCGTTGCCAGTACCGGTACCCCCACCTAAAACCACACCCTACCGCACCCACCTCCACCACCCAACAGGCCTGCTCATCTTCGTTCCCAGCTACTTTGACTTTGTACGGCTACGCAACGCCCTTCGCGCCGACGACAGCGCCGACCTGGCGGTCATCAGCGAGTACAGCAGCGGCAGCGAGGTGACGCGCGCGCGAGCCAGGTTCTTCCACGGGCAGCGGCGGGTGCTGCTGTACACGGAGCGGGCGCACTTTTACAACCGCCACCGCATCCGGGGGATCAAGGTGCGGAGGCTTTAAGGTTTAGAGGAAGGTTTAGACAGCTTAGCGCGTAATTGCTATGCAATCGCAGCCCTTTCCTGCATGCTTTGCGTGGTACCTTACCAGGAAAGGACGCTGCTAGCAGCCAGTGCCATGATACCTCACGCCTGTCATCTTGCGTAACCTGAAGCTCAACCTAACTAAAAACACACCCTAACGGAAAACCTGACATACAGGACATTCTGTTCTACGGCCTACCGGACCACGGGCACTACTACTCGGAGCTCGTCAACCTGCTGGAGGAAGGCGGTGGAGCGGCAGCAGCAGGTGGAGCAGCGGCGGGGGCGCACCAGGCGACGGTGACGGCGCTGTTTTGCGGCTGGGATGTGCTGCAGCTGGAGAGGGTGGTGGGGAGCGGGCGGGCGAGGCGGATGCTGCGGGGCGAGAGCGGGACGTACATGTTCTGCTGAGGAGGAGGAGCAGTGGCGTTGTGCATAGCGTTACTCGGCCTGCTGCTGGAAGCAGCGGGAGAGGAGGAGGAGGTGCATGGGGTTCTTGTGGCAGTGGGGAGCGAGGGGTTGCTGTAGGGGAGAGGGAGGAGGGTGGGTGTGTTGTAGGTATTGCGTATGGGGAGGTGAGCGGGTGCCATGCTTTTAAATAGGGAGGGTTCGGGTGCAGACAGAGCACGGCAGAGTGCTTGCTGCCGAGTGCTATGGCAATGGCCAGGAAGGATCCATGCGTAGGCCAGTAGCTTAGCTTGGTAGCAGTGATTACGGATAGCACATTGCGCATACGGGGTTGATGAGGGCTGGTGAGAGAGTATGAGTGGCTAAGGCGGTCGAATAGCAGGAGGAGTTGGGTAGCTCAGAAACAGCAGGAGCAAGGGTGCCGTATACGTCCCAACGAGCAAAGTGCATCACATTGTGGTGGCTACGACTGTTGGAAGATGCAGGGAAGGTTTTAGGTTGCGATGCAACCTAGCCGCGGTTATTAAAACGATTACGCAGGTTAGGTTTAGCAGTGAAGCCGTTTGTGGTTCTGTCCATTACGGTACCGGTACTAACTCCGTTTGCCTTTTCGTTGTAAGCCGCAATGTTCTCCTCCAGCCCTGCTCCACACAGACACTGCACGCGGCCAGTTCCGACTCGCGGCCAGTCTTCTGGACGCTGCACGCACACCCGCCTCGAATGCTCCTGAACACCAGCCCAAGTCATGACCAGCATGAGCGATGCAAAACCCAGGGGGTTGCCTCAACACATACATGGGTCGCACCGCATGTCCCAAAGCAGACGTGCGCAGCAGCAGGTAGCAAGATTGAAGGGCTGGATGGGTAGAGGTGGGCAGGTGAAGCAGGGCCTAGGATGTGCTGCATGCACTACTTCGTCCCATGCATGCATTGAAAGCAAGCAGCCAAACGGGTGAAAAGATGAATCGACAAGCTTGAAGAGAATCCACTTGCGTGTATGTAACGGTGCATTCCTCCCTTAGCGTCACCCATACAATCCTACGGTCCCTGGCCAAATGGCCATGCCACTGTTCATTCACGGGCAGGGCACAGGCAGCAGCACTCTGAGGCAGCAAGCTGGCTAACCTTGCGGCAGGGATGCCCTTTCTCCTGGCAAGCCTTGTACGGTTTGCGGTTGCACACCATGCCGCGCGCGCCGTACGCTTGCTTGACGTACAGGTTATTCCAGCCCGTTTCGTACAAATCTTGCTGCCGAGAACCGCCTGTTTGCATGCAGGAAAAATCGCGTACCGGTACTGTTCACATGCAGGGTAGGGTTAGCTTCACGGCAAAGATGTGTGAAACAGTGAAAGGCTGGTTGTTAAGCTTGATTGCAGCTGCTGTGGAGGCAACAAGGTGTCTTAACCACGGCTGGACACCACCTATTCCTTCAGCAAGGAATGCCGCAACTTTCCATACATACCACCCATCCTTTGCACCCTACCTCCATCAAAGCTGCTCCCCTCCGGATGTCCCTTGGTCGCGAACACGTAGCCAGCCTGCGGGTCCGCCTGACCCGTGGGCCACTTGTCACTCAAGCCAACCTGCAGCTCGGGGCTCTCCATGAGCTCGCGTAGAAACTCCCCCGCCACCTGCTTCTTGTTTAACTCTTCCCCACCCTCAAATTGCTGCTGTATTATCGCATACCTCAGGCACAAGCCCTGCGGGTGCGGCAGCTGCTGCCGCTGCAGGCCATAGGGCGTGGCGCCACTACCGGTACTCTGGGCCGGGGTCTGCCGGAAGTCGACAGCAGCAGCGGCAAGAGCGCCGTGACGGCCCGGGGCCCATGCGGCAGTGTGGGCAGTGGAGGCAGCAGCAGCAGCGGCAGCGGACTTGTGCATGCGGGCGGCTGCTGGGTTCGCAGCGGCATGCATGGGCAGACATGGCGGCCGCGGCGGCTGCGGCGGCTGCGGCGGCTGCGCAGGTCCCCTGCAGGGCACTCCCCAGCAGCTGGGGGAAGTCGCGGATGCAGCAGCAGCCGCCGCTGCGTGGGCCCCTACTGTGCCAGGACTGCATGATGGAGGCAGTACGGGGGTGCTGCGGTCGTCTTGACGCCAGCAGCGAGGCAGTGCCGCTGCCGCTGCTGCCTCTGAAGCTGCTGGTGGCGGCAGCGATGTGGGATGCTGCAGCATGCCGTAATTAACCTCGCCATTGAACGAACACGCCGGGGGGGGATAGCCGCCGCAGCCAGCATAAGCGTGAGCTGCGGGATGCAGGTGCGGCTGCGACTGCGGTTGAAAATGGGCCTGCCAGGCTGCTTCCATGCTTCCGCCGGCAGGGGGTTGGCGAGCTGCTGCTTGCGCATTGGGGCTGGCCGGTGAAGATGGCTGGCTCCCGCTGCTGGGGCTGCTGTACAGCAGAGGTAACTGCCGCGGGGAGCCGCCGTACTGCTGCTGCTGCTGTGAGGGGAAGGCGTCAGAAGGGTAGCGGGTCAAACCATGCAACTGCTGCTGCTGTTGTTGCTGCCACTCAAATGGTCGCTGTTGCTGCTGCTGCCCCTGCTGCCCCTGCTGCACCAGGCCTGCTGACGGGCACAGCAGCAGTGCTGCAGCAGGTGCCGACAATGACGACAGCGGCCTGCTGCCGCCAGCAGCCGGGGTGGTACAAAGGCTGTTGGAGTCCGCCAACGGTGCTAACTGCGGCGCTGACAGCGCCGCGCTGCCGCCGCTGCTGCATACCGCGGCAGCGGCGGCGGCAGGATTTGACACGCTGGCGCTTGGAAGGTCGTCGGCGCGTCGGTACGGCTGTCCAGCGGCCCGGCGGTGTCGGCGAAACCATGGAGCGGGCCCATATCAGCAGCAGCGGCAACGGCAGCGGCAGCAGCTGTAGACCTAACGCCGCTGCTGCTTCCAGTGCTCGTAGGGCTGTCCAGGCCAGGAACTGCATGGCGATTGAGGCTGGGACCATTGGCAGCAGGTGCGGGGTGGAAAGGGAGGGCGGCGGGCGGCATGGGGGAGGGGGGCTGTAGTGGGAATGGCTGCTGCGGCCGCTCCATCGCTGCCGTCACAACCGCCGCCCTCGCCGCCGCTACTGCTACTGCAGTGGCGGCTGCCGCTGGTGCAGCAGAAGCACCGGTATCGTTCCGCTCCAGCTGCTGCATCCATCCTTGCCTAGTGTCGGACACCATGGGTGGCGGATGGACGCATGTTGCCGAGCACGAGACGCGGCTGTTATAGCTGCCGAGGGTGCGATCGTTGATATTGCTGACGGTGGCGGTATCGTGAGGTAGCAGCGGCGGCCCATCAAGCTGGTTCTCCTCCTGCGAGAATAGAAACGTTTATTGTTTTAGAAAGATTTCAGATGCGGATGGATACTGCCGAAGAGGTCGGGATTCTCGAATTAGTTAACATCTTAGCTAGGCTAGTCACCGACCTGCTGTGGAAGCGAACGCTGCAGCTACAGCTCTGCATCCGACGAATCTACCAAGTCAGCGATAGCCTCGATGTCGTCGCTGCTAATGCTGACAGCGTCGTCGTCGCTGTTCCCGACCTCGACGCCAGCACCCCACATATCAAACGTAGCCTGAACGTCGGCATCGTGGGTGTTGTTGTGCTCATCACAATCGCTGGTATTTATTAGAGACATTGCATTTGGTGCTTGTAGAAACGAATTTGCAGTTGAGACGACGCTTCGAATGCGTCGCGATAGCAGCGAGCGAGCTCCGACCCTGCTGCAGCTCCGGCCTTAAAATTTCGCTAGCCGAAACAAGCTATACGTCCGCTAACTGTCCGCGAACCATTACCAAGATTCTTTACATGCTTGCAAATGTAAGCCACTTATGCAGGATTATGAAAGCTCGCATCTGATGGAACCCTGGGTGTCGTACAAGAAAAGGTGCAACCGTTGACGAGCGCCACGGGTCGCCACGGGTGGCCCCGGGTCCTCATGGGTGGCCTCCTAGGTTGGCCTCAGAGCTTCAAGTTGTTCACGCTTTGCTTCAGAAGAAAAGTTACAGTAAAACTGTAGCGCCGAGCTTTGTCTCGCTGCTAAACTGTTGTCACGGGTGTTACCGATACCGTTACGGGATCCGTCGTTAACGAAAGCCGGAACGCGATGTCACTAAGAATTGATGGCTTTGCGCTTTGGATGGTATACCTTGGGGTCACGTATAAATGCGCGATACCGGTATACCGGTACTAAGAAGCGCCCGCAAGGGTGACCGCCTTTTGCCGTAGCGCTGGTTGCGTTGCAAGTGCTGTAAATTGCTTCCCGGTGTCGAGAACGAAACTTGAATTCCTTCTTAGCTTTTGTAGCAGGCGGCAGTCAAAAAATGCCTTTGGGACGTAAGAGCGCATTGCACGTGCTGCCAGCTGCGCTTCCTATAAGCGACCCAAGTTTGAGCTGCCGCATAATGCATTCCAGCAATCGTTTCCCGCATTGCATGATCTCTCTCTCATATCGCGGATACCTTTCTTACCCACCTTCTCCTGCCACCTTCACACCCACCTTAACCTTCACAAACTCATACACCTTCACCACCAATCCCCTCTCCTCATCAGTACCCGAACACCCATTTCCACCACCACAAACGGCCACCACGTGCCCCCCCCTCCCCGCACCAATGCCCACGTGGGTGGGGAAGTCCCCGCTACACCACCGCTACCCCCCTCGTCATTAACATCACCAACATCATCCGGTCACCGGCGGCCCCCTCCCCCTGCGTGTTTCTAGAATAGTGTCTCCGAATGCGCTCACTGCATGAGTCGGGATTCGGGATTGGGACTCCGTTGATGCATTAATCTAAAATTTTCTCCCCTCCTCCTCCATCGCCCGCCTGTTGCCCTCCTGGCACCGCATCCCCCCCGCCGAACACCTGCTGCAAGCTGCGCCCCTGCACTCGAGCCGTGTTGAAATCCTGACGCAGCCGCACGTACTTGATGGCCTCCCTGGGTGGGGGAGGGGGTGGGGGTTTGCGGGGCAGGGGGTTATTAGGGATACGGGGTGTGGCAGTGGCAGGGCCGGGGCAGCAGCGGACACATGCGGACGCATTGTAACACACACGACGACATGAGGGGTCAGCGCTTTGGGACAGCAGCGGGGGCCGCAATGAGCAAAGCACATGGGCACACACGCGCACATGGCAACCAGGGACACCCCCCCCACCTGCTAGTTTACCACTACCACACCACACCTTGGATATTCTTTTTTTCCCACCTGCGTCCCCCTACCCCCATTGCCTTGCTCTAACATGTGGCTCTGGTATATCTCTTTTCCCCCACCCATGGTCCAGCCGCAGGCTGCCACATTGGGTATCCTTCTTTCCCCCCCCCCCCACCCCCACCTGTGGTCCAGCCTGAGGCTGCCATTCACCAGCGGCAGCAGCTGCTCCGGCTCCACTAGCAGGACCCCCGCCAGGGCCGCACACCTGCTGTGCACTGACATATGGCGCCGTGCAGCACCTGGACGTCTCTTTCTGCCTTCGCCGTCATGGCACCGCCATTCGTGTCCCGTTATCCATTGCTCAGCTGACCACACACATATGCGTAACATGCATAGAAGGATCCCAGCCGTCATGATGTTTCGTTCCCGGCAATCAGGGTGTACTTAGGCACAACCACGCACACAAGCCAACTAAAGACAATCCGTACAGCTGCAAGACCCTTAATCCATAAGGTTGCAGCAAGGTGGAGCATGATATTCCATGGATCCGTACCCTAACCCCAACGCACAGACCTACCCTTACCATCCCTCCCTGCCCTATCACGTCAGCACAACAAGGCAACATTAGCTTAATGGTAATTGAGCGAAGGACCAAAGAAAGCCAGCACCTCATGGCCAGGGCGCTTGGAAGTCTACATGGCTGCCGACCACGTGTTCCGCTGGCGAAGGTGGACGTGGACATTGTCGTTGCCGGACCGGCGCTCGACTGGTTCCATGTTGTAGGAAGGTCCTTCCGACATGGTGGACCCGTTGGGCTGGTCGCGTGTCCCGAACAGAGCGGCGCAGAAATTGTGCGCTTCGGACAGAGCGCCCCAGAGCTCATCGAAAACGTTCCACTTTCCTGCAGGAACCACCAGAAGTAATATGTAACGGGACGAATACATGTGTACACATATCAGATTTCAGTGTCAGAGATCCGCAGGTGCAAAGGCTTCACCTACGTACCAAGAGCAAGGAGTACTTGCATCCTCGCTTCCTTGGGATCTAGCAAAACCGCCGTTCTAACTGTCTTGTTTGGATACCGCTGTACCAGTAGGTACTTGGCAACCGACCGCTCATGGGGAGTCAAGCCGGGGACCTCGTCTACTATTCGCTCCCACAGAGGCTGCTTGTCGGCCATCGTAGCTAGCGCTACTCTGACGGGTACTGACTAGAGTTGCAGCCGGAAAATGTTGAGCGGAGCGTCCAAGGGCAGCTTCGCACACTTTCCAACTTGTGAACACACACAAACGCCTAAGCACGTCACCGAGGGTCTCCCTGACAATTTTTGAAGGTTCCTTAGGAGTTAGGATTCATTTGCTCGGCCATGGCCGATGATGGCCGATATGGAAGGACGAAGGTGGCCAGCCTGAGGTCGTACATGGCCCAATGGGAGACCCCTCATGACCGCGGAATCGGATGTGTGTTGCGCAAAATTCAGCCGTAAAATTCAGCTGTACGCACGCTGACTTTTACCCTTAATAGATTACTAGCTATAGACTTACAGCTGAACTTTACGCTGCTTACGCCGCAGCTTGCGCCCCAAGACTCTACCACTTTCCAGCCTTTCCTGTTTCCTGAACTACCTCCTTTTAGCACCATAACAGGTAGCAATCCTTTCACCGCGTATCGGCTGAATAGCCATTAGGTATAGGGCTAGCGCCGCGGACCTTCAGCGACTAGATGCCCATGTTAAAAGGATAGACATGACGCCGTTTGTCTATCCCTGAAACGTTTTTTCCATCCCTCTAACATGGGCTCCTGAACTACCTCCTTTTAGCACCATAACAGGTAGCAATCCTTTCACCGCGTATCGGCTGAATAGCCATTAGGTATAGGGCTAGCGCCGCGGACCTTCAGCGACTAGATGCCCATGTTAAAAGGATAGACATGACGCCGTTTGTCTATCCCTGAAACGTTTTTTCCATCCCTCTAACATGGGCATCTAGTCGCTGCACGGGAGCTGCTGCTGAGGGTGGGGCTGTGCCTCTTGGAAGGCACGAAAGAGGCTGCTGCTGAGGGGGGGCTGTGCCGGTTGGGGAGGCGCGAGCGGGGGCTGGGAAAACAGTGCAAATGGCGACTCCCATTATGGGCGCAGGCTGACCTTCCCCGTGAGGCCCTGCGTCTCCATGCCTTTCCCATGTGACTCCTCACCCGCTCAGTGCGCCTGCCTGACATGCAGCTGCCCTTCCCCGCGCGGCGCCTGCCTCCCCCCATGCCCGGCACGCATAAACGCCAGTTGAATTGCAGGGTGGGACGCTGGTGTCATGGCCGCGAGTGGTTGTGTAGGACGGGAATGCACCGTTAAGCATGCACGCTTACCTACGGTACTTGGGCAGGGCGGGTATGCATGCATGTGTGGGTGCCGGTTTATGGGCTGGGCGGGTATGCATAAGTGGGCACGATAGGGACGCCAAGGTGCAGGTGGAAGGGGTGTGATGCGTGCACGCATGAGCGGAGTTTGAGAAAGCCCGGGTGGGTATGCATTAACACTTAAGCGCTGATGCTTGGGTGGGTGCAGTAGGGACGCCAGGGTGCAGGTGGTTGGGAAAGAGTGTGATGCTTGCACGCATGAGCGGAATACTTGGAAAAGCATTAAGGGGCGAGGGGCAAGAAGACAGAATGGGAGTAGTGAGCGGTCAGTTGCCCGATCCCACACCACTACTAAGCCCGGGTGGTCAGCGGAGACGGGAGCCGCCTAGGGTGTTCAAGTGAATGAACAGCGAGCCCTGGTGTTGAATGATGAGGGGGGTGAGGTGTCATGCGTTCCAGCCCAACCCGGCGCCGGTCAACTCCAACCAAAGGCGAACAGGAACCCACAGCCACCCTCCCATACTCGCGAACCGCACTCCCCCCGCAGACACGAGCCCTGCCCACCCCCAACCCGCCCCAGTGTAAACACAGTCCTTCACACCCTCATCCTGTGGGGGATGAAAAGGGAATGCCAGGTGGCTGCGGAAAGTGAGTTGTAGGTGCCCTTTGACTATTGTATCTCTGCTTAGCGGTATGCCTTGTGTGTTTTGGCCTGCAAATGCGCATGACCGCAAGAGTTCGGGTAGGACGGGGGTGCCTGCGTTCATGGGCGCCATTAGTCGGGCAGTGCGAGGATGTCTGCGGGGGGAGTGCGGTTCCCGAGTATAGGAGGGTGGCTGTGGGTTCCTGTTCGCCTTTGGTTGGAGTTGACCGGCACCCGGGTTGGGCTGGAAAGCATGACCACTCTCACCATTCAACACCAGGGCATGCTGTTCATTCACTTGATGTGCCCTTCATGCGTGCCTTCCCAACCACCCAAACACCTGCGCCCAGGCATCCCTATCGTACGCACCCATGCACCAACGCCGATGCGTTATTGCATACCCACCCGGGCTTTCTCCAGTGTTCCGCTCATGCTTGTAAACAGCCCGTCCTACACAACCACTCGCGGCCATGTCACCAGCGCCCCACCTCTGCAATTCAACTGGCGTTTATGCGTGCCGGAATGCGGGCGTTTGGAGGCGGGAACCGGGCATGGGGGGAGGCAGGCGCCGCGCGGGGAAGGGCAGCTGCATGTCAGGCAGGCGCACTGAGCGGGTGAGGAGTCACATGGGAAAGGCATGGAGACGCAGGGCCTCACGGGGAAGGTCAGCCTGCGCCCATAATGGGAGTCGCCATTTGCACTGTTTTCCCAGCCCCCGCTCGCGCCTCCCCAACCGGCACAGCCCCCCCTCAGCAGCAGCCTCTTTCGTGCCTTCCAAGAGGCACAGCCCCACCCTCAGCAGCAGCTCCCGTGCAGCGACTAGATGCCCATGTTAAGAGGGATGGAAAAAACGTTTCAGGGATAGACAAACGGCGTCATGTCTATCCTTTTAACATGGGCATCTAGTCGCTGAAGGTCCGCGGCGCTAGCCCTATACCTAATCGCCATGATTTATTAGGAATAGCGCATAATTACCCTCCTTGTTACGTTTGCAAAGAATGAACCCAATCGGCGGAACTTGTTGATTAGGGTATGCTGCTGGGAAGCACTCTGGGCCGACCCTTGGGCCTGTCGGTCTGCGAAGGTTCATGTTCACAGCCCGTTTATGTTCCCTGAACCTATTAGTAAGGCCCGCCATGCAGCCCCCGCACTGGCCCATCCACAAGCGTGCATGCGAGCAGGCCAACGCCCCGTCCTCAAAGCCCGGATGTGCAAAGCCTTGCGACACGGCAGGCCTTAAAAGGGCGGGACAGACCACACCTGACCGCACCATACCGCACCAGGCACGCTGCTGCAGACACGGTACAGTTCATAGCACCTCCTATCCACCTCAGGGATAGGCAAAGGATGCTAGTGGGGCCGTGGTGCCAAAGGCCGCTACGGCTAGGCCCCTAAGCACAGCCCACCTACCTGGCTTTTCAGTATCCGCCCTTGCCACACATATGGTGTTATGTCTCCTTCTTCAGTCTCCAAGGGCCTCCCTCCATCTTCCCTGCTTCCAGCCCCCATCAGCCGAGCCACCTGTCTCCGTGTAGCTGCCTCCTCATCTCCAGGCCTCCTAGCTCCCTGCTTGGATCACCGCAACGCAACATACTAAGGCTATCCATTGTGTGCATGCGTGACACACACCCATTCGCATAAACACCCGAGGAGAGGCCGTACCAAAGTACGGGCGCCCCGGGCGTGCAGCCATCGACCTGTTGAACCTATGCATGCATGCATGTCTGCCCCGCGAGCTAGCGGCGCCCACATGAACATGCATCCCCGCCCTTTACGGCTATCGGTGCTTATGCGTGCAGAAATCCTCTCGTCCTGACGGAAATCGGCACCCATGCATGCAAGCATCACCACCCTTCCAAACCACCTGTGCCCAGGCATCACTGTCATACCTACCCATGTATCAACGCCGATGCGTCAATGCATACCGTCCCGGCAATGCCAACCCGTCCTATAAACCGGCACCGTTACATGCATGCGTGCCCGCGATGCCCAACTACCGGCGGCCACGCGGTGCACACAATCACCGCGCCCATTTACCAACGCTCCCGGTCTGTGTACGCATGCATCCCCGCTCTGCCCAAGTACCGACACCAATGCGTGCATGACGCACCCCCATCCTACACAACCACCCGCGGCCATGGAACCAGCGCCCCCGCCCTGCTCACAAACTGGAGCAAACGCTCGCAGGAATGGGACACGGGGAAGCAGGAGCCGGGCATGGGGCAAGCGCCGCGCGGGTACGGACAGCCGCATGGGGAGGGCATGGGGAGGCAGGCACTGCACATGGAAGCGCAGAGAGGCCCCACGGTGGGCCGCAAGAAGCCCGCAAGTGCACTGCACGGGAAAGCACATGGGGAGGCAGGCGCCGGGCGGGAAAGGGGAGCTGCATGGGTTAGGTTAGGGTTAGGCGCCAACACGGTCTGTCCAAGCCCCGCGCGTCCATGCAGTCCTCGCACTGCCAAACAACAAGCGTGCATGCGAGCAGGCATGCCACTCCGTATCTGCTGCAAATGGCAAAGGCCCCATCCGGACTCCGCTAGCACTAGATAGTGCTATTGCCGCCGCTGCTGCACGGGCCAACGCTCCGTCCTCAAAGCCTGGGTGTGCAAGGCCTTGCGACACGACAGGCCTTCAAAGTGCGGGACGGATCCTCACGTGTACCTACCGTATATATGTCCTCCACTGCAGTCTCCAGGGCCCGCTTCACCACCCCTGCTTCCAGCCCCTACTCGACAAGCTTACTCCACCTATCCTCGAAGTCATCGCTCCCCAATATGCATCTGCCTTCTCACATCCAGGCTTCCTAGTTCCCTCCACTAAGCAACAATGTGCATGACACGCTTCTGCGCTGAGGTATGCACCATCAGCATACCAAAAAATGGCTCCCCGTAGTACCTGCACCTGTAGTAGAGTCTAGTTAAGGTTGTGCGTTGGACTTCTAGTGCATCGCAGCGCCGTTTAGATAGAAAGACGTGGTTGGTTGTATGATCAGAATCAATGCTAATATATCGTCAGATCCGTCTGTCTAGTAATCATCACTAGCACAGGTAGCCTTCACCGGACTTCAATTACTACGGCGTTCTACTTGAATGCTTCGCCGGCACCCTGTAACTGTTAGAAGGGCTTTGGTTAATTGTACTTAATCGGCTATCTCGCAAAATACATAACGTGTCACTCTCTTGCAAGGTTTCGCTCTCAAAAAGTGGCTGATTAGAAGCTTTGCATAAGTAGAGATGAACCGCGTGTGTAGAGCAAGGAAATATGGTGTGCAAGTCAGCTGCTCCGTCGCCGCTCCCATTTTGGTTCCCCTGGAGCCACGCGCCAAACCGCCAGCCTCTCAGAACGTGTCTTGCAAGTCCGGTGGTGCCATGTGAGTGTTTTGCCCAGGCTTTTTGTGCGTTCTCGAGTATGGGCGGATTTGAATTGATACAAGTAGTTTTTAGGGCAAAGCACGGTGGTGGTGTCGATTACGCGATTGCGTAATCGCTCCTAAAGTTCAATCTCTCTCGCCGTACTCTAGGCTAAAGTGAGTTTGGCAAGGCGCCCGTTAGCGCCGGGTCTACCCGTACCCATGTACTTTCTAACGCCTCCCCACATCACACCGCTCAGCGGCTGACAGGGGTCGCCTTGCCACCCGACAGCACTATAACATCAGATTCCCCCACCGTTGTTCTCCATGGCTGCCCTGAGCCATCGGCCCTCTCTCTGAGCCTGGCCGGCAGTCAGCCATCCGAATCTCATTGCCAGTATCGGACCCAGACTATCCGCAAACATGTGTCCGCTGTCTGCGGCCCCATGGTGAGTCGCCACTTGCAAGTTCCCTGGGCGATGGACCCTTGGTTCACTGCCCTCCCCCCAGACGCATTACTACCCACCAATGGTTCAACCCCGATGTCGCCTTTTCCCCTTAGTCCACCCGGGCAGTGGTCCTTTGGGGGTGGATACTCCCATTCCTGTCCCGGTCGTGCCCATGGTTCCCTGACCCGTGGGTCACTTGCGGGTAATGTTGGGGACGGACCCAAATGTTAGGGACGGATTTGACGGCTTTGGGGGAAGAGTTGGACTTGGATGCGCATGTGGAACGTATTGCAGGCACGGAGTTAAACGTATCTGCTCTCACTCATAAGTTTGCTGACAGAATGGATGCTGGTAGGGAGGAGTTTAGAAGTTGACCCGCGGCTTTTCAACCCAGTAGACCCCGTACCAGGGGTTGGAGTTAAGATGTGCCGCTACAAAAATTGGATGGGTGGTCCGGTTGACAGGGGTTACATTATTCAGCGGCAGCATGTGAACCTGATGCGCTTTCGGCTGTGTGTGTGGGGCATTGAAGCCAATCGCCCAAGGGGTAGGCAGCGAGTAGCGCGTCTTTGTCCTATGTGTACTGTGCAAGGGTCACCTGGGAGAGTGGAGGATGAGAAACACATTCTTATGGAATGTCCCGCTTACGACGATTTGCGAGAAAAGATTTGGGAAAGTGGCGTCTCACGGGATGCTGAGATGATTACTGTCATGGGCATGGAGGATCAGGCATTGCTCGCTAGCGTAATCACTAGCATATGCGATCACATGCGATCACATGCGACGACCCTAAACGCGTCCAGGATTCGGTCGTTAGAACTGAATGATACTTAATGCTCGTCCATTGCGAATGCCGTACCCCTGGGAACACTAAGCCCAGGCGCGCCCCTGGTCTAGTTGCTGCCAGTGTCCATACGATGGTTCAGAATTTAGAAATGAATTATTCGTGCCATTCTTAGCCGCGAAAAACCCACCCCCCCCCGCCCATTTCGCGGCTAGTCAGCCGTATGACTGGGAGCTAGCCTGCACTCTTGACCCCAACCCCGATAACCTCTTCCCAAGAGACCCCTCGCCGGTAGCCTACGCCCCTACAGTATCCAGGCGGCGTCTCTATTCTTGCCGCAACTTCTTTCCCCGCCCGCTCAGGTGGCGTGTCTGATCCGTGTAGCGCCCCAGGACTGCAGCACTCTTGATCTGGCCCAAAGTCTTCAGCGCCTCTTCGCCCAAACCACGCTTGGCAGCCGCCTGGAGCGCCCCGCGGCGGAAGCTGTGGTTGGTTTCACCCGCGTGCAGCACAGCAGCCCGCAGGTGCCGCTGCATCCGGGCCCCCAGCGCGGAGCTGCTGAGAGGCGCCGCCTTGAAGGACTTGCGGTCTGGGGCCAATGGCCGGAAGAGGTAGTCCGTGATGGCGAAGCCAGTGGCGTCCGGCTGGCTGGCCCGCCAGACATAGAAAGCGAGTGTCCGGGGAAAGCTCCGGGATGGCCGGCCCAAGTCGGACTCCAGGTATACGGCAGGCGCGCGCTGCACGCGCGCAGTTTTGGTGCCGTGCTCTCGCACACACAGGCGGTAGCCGACACCATCCGGCCACTCCCATGGGGGAGGCAGTGGAAGCCGCTCGTCCGCCTCTGCCGGCCGCTCAGGGTCGCAGAAATCCGCCATGGCCAGCTTCCCAACGTCGTAACCCCGGTAGGTGCTCTGGAACATGAACTGCGCGCAGAGCAAGTCGCTGGTGGCAAGGAGGATATCCACCACTTGCTGTGACGAGTCCACCTTGGCCGCAAGGTAGTCGCACAAGCTCCCGAACTTCTCCTCCGTCAGAGGTATAGCGGACGTCTCCTCATACCCGCCCAGCATCCTCAACCGGGTGTAGCCCCGGCGGTAGTCCGTTACCCACTGGGATTCACAAGGGTTACCTCGGCTGGTGACGGGGTCGTACGACCCTACCCGACCAGCGCGGGCGAACCACCCGCTCAAAGCCGACAGAAACCCCTTCACCGCCTGGGGCCCGGCCTCCTCCTGTTTCCTACCGGGGTGGGTTGGCAGCCACCCCTCCTCGAAGTACACCAAAATGTGCTCGGGCCCCACGTCAGACAAAGTCACCCCCTCACCGGCCGCCAACAACCACGCCCCCAATGAGGCGGCGGCCTCATCCTGCTTGGCAAGGGTGCTGGGCGCCAGGGAGTGGTCCATGACAGCCTGCGCCTTGAGGAGGCCCCGCTCGTAGTAACCCGCAACTGGGCGAGTGGCCGGGCGGACCCCTATCTGAGCCGCGCGTAAGGCCCGCAACTCTGAGAATCCCACCCGCGCCTGCAGCATGCCACAAGAGTCAGATAGAAGGGATCCCGACCCTCAATCAATCGCGGAAACAGATGCTTACTTACAGGACAGGGGGGCTCGGAAACGGAAGGGCCCATTAGTGGCGACGAGACGCCAATGATAGACGGTGACGAGCCCACCCAACCAGCAAGGGGGGGAAATCCCGGGCTTACGGCGGGGGCCGGCAGTGGGCCCAGCAATCCCAGTGGACACGCAGCAGCGCCTCGACCCAGCCGCCCAAGTAATGCGTCTTCCGACATGACGGCCCCAGGGTAGTTGAGCACTGCCCCGGGATACACCTGTGCAGCGCTGCAACGAGTAAGGAAGGCCCGCAGCACAGGCCGAACTTGAAACAGTATGCCAAAGGCCTACTGACCTCCGTAACAGGCTGCAAGCCCGGTCCCAGAACGGGAAAGTCCAGCCCCCACGAAGGCGCCGGGTCGGCGGACCCCTTGCCGGGAAACCCAAGGTCAACAGCCGTTCCCGGACGCAGAGGAATATTTTCCGTTATGCCCTGGGTGCAGAGCCGAAAGAATTACGCGAAGTAGATTTCATACATAGGGCGCTCGCTACCCCTTACCGCCACAGAAAAGTTCAGTGCTCCAGGTGGAGAATGCCGGAAGGCATTTTAACAAACTAACGAACTCGTCGTATGAGAGGCTCGCTACTCCGTTCGCGCTAGATTACCCGCAAGTGACCCACGGGTCAGGGAACCAAATGTTAGGGACGGATTTGACGGCTTTGGGGGAAGAGTTCCACGGGTCAGGGAACCAAACCCAGCGCGAACGGAGTAGCGAGCCTCTCATACGACGAGTTCGTTAGTTTGTTAAAATGCCTTCCGGCTTCTCCACCTGGAGCACTGAACTTTTCTGTGGAGGGTGGAGGGGCATAAGGCCAGTCGTCGCGCGATATAGGCCTCCCATGCCTAGGTAGCCGTACAGGTCGTACATTACGGTGAACGGGGGGGTGACAGGCGGCTTGCTACCTGCCTTTCCACCCTTCTACTGGACACTCTTACAGATTGGCTTTTCGTTCGGGGTTCCTATGCTTATCGTCCAAAAGGGTTGCCTGTTTAAAATTTCAAAAAGGATGTGGACTAGGAACAATAAACTGTCAAAAATGCGAACTGGCGACAGGAATGGCTGAGACACGGTACCATGTTGTGTGTTCCCGCCCGACTTTACAACACGACACATGGGTTCCTTACCTATGAGCCCTTGTAAGAAGTACACCAAACCTGCCCATGCGCGTTCGTCTCCTCCCCAGTTCGCATGCTGCGTGCTCGCAGCAATACTGAGAGGGGAATGCATATATCCGTAAGAAGTTAACAGTTTGTCAAGTCGCATGCCGGGCTGGTATTTGATAGCTTGTTGCAGCAGAACAGTGTGATGTGTGAACATCTAATCGGTTTCCACACATAACTTCGATTTCCGCTATGTGCGGAAACCGAGATTTTGCCCCGAGCAGCGGTTACATGGGTACGTCATACCGGAGATGCCGACAAAAGACAAATGGGTAGAAATCTAAGCACGATTAGTTTGAGCGCGCCTTACCAAGGCGCCTGCACTGAACCACAGCGTCGTCAGGCTATTTTAATGAATGGCCGTTACAATGGTTCCCTAAAAGGTCACACCCGCATTGGCCGCCATCCTCACCGACGGCCCAATGCGAACATCCCTGGTAAACTAGAACCACACGTGAACTGAGACACTTAAGCCAGCCGAGGCCTCAGACCCTTGCAGCTCGGCCACGGAGGGGGGGAGTGCAACGGAAAGAAGGGGTGGATGGGCGGGGAAACTAATAATCAACGGTACTGATGCCCGGAAGACAGGAAGGAAGGCAGCAAGACAGCAAGAAAGGCTTAAGCAAATTTCTGGTCCAAACGCGCGCCTAAAGAAAGCCAGCCTGAGCTACGGGGCTCAATGCCGTACAACCTTGCGACACCTTTGTCCAGCCCGCTGCCCTAACTTCCGCCTAGAAAGCCGATTTACGACTCGCCTAAAACACAATTTCCTGCTAAGGATACTGGATAGTGTTCTTGCCCTTTGCCTGGACCTCCTTCGCCAGGCTCAACACCTGCTGAAGCTGCGCCTCCACACCTCTTCGCTGGATCCAAAGCCGCCTTGCATGGCTGCTGGTGCTGCTGCGCCTCTGACTCCTCCTTGCATGCGTGATTTAGCTTGCGCATGTGGTCGTGATGAAGACTGCTGCCGCTGCAGCCGCTGTGCCCTGCTGCTGCGGCTGCTGCCGTGTCACCGGTGGAGGTGAGGCGGGTTTGACGAGGAGATTGCAGCGAACGATGCTGCTGGGGCTGCAGTGCATGCGATACATGACGAGCTGTGGTGGTGCCGCCACCGCTAGTGCGACCGTTTCCAGCTGCCCCGTCGGGAATCCTGTTTGCAGGAGCCCTGCGGTTTGCAGCTGGAGCCGCACTTGCGGTCGCAGTGGCGTTGGTAGGGGCGCGGTTCTTGACTACCTGCTGCGGGTGCTGCTGTTGCAGTTGGCGGTGGCTGGGGCCTACACGGTTCTGGATACGCGCCCAGCGGAGAACGAGCTGGCTAGGCCAGAAGAGCCTTGGGGGCGAGGAACGTCAGGTCTCGGTTGATGTGTTGCCGTTGGGAGTTGGTGGTTGTCAAATCGCAGGGGATGCCTGGGGCACTTGCAGCGTCGGCTCCCGTTGCATGGCTCCCGATGTAGCTGCTGCCGGGCTGAAGTACTGCCAGCAGTGGCGGCGCTTGGCTTTGGTCCGGCTGTCAAGCGAAGCACGTCTCCCAGCTGCTCAGTGTTCCATAGCTGTTGGAAGTCCTCGTACAAGATCTCGGCTGCGAGTGGGGAGCAATTGTAATCGCATTGGACCAGTTAGCCCTTGCTATCCGGGTACGGTACATTGCAAAAATTCACAATACCCATTACACAGCAGCTAATTCCGCAAGCAGATGTCAGGCCGGCCGCCCGCAGCAAACTACTCACCAGGAAGGGGCTCCCCAGCTGCCACCGCCTTCAGCACTTGGTCAAACTTGCGAGCACGCTCATGCAGCTGCAGGTACGCCTTTGTTGAGTCCCACCATCACCAAACCCCATCTCGCTATCCTCTCAGACCCCATGAGCGTAGTGCACCCCAGTGGGGACCAGTGAAGACGCATACACGCCGACCCACGTCACCTAACAGCTAGGGCAGGGTAGGCACCATGCCCACACCGATGAATGCGCCTAATAAGCTTCGGAACGCCCCTTTAACTAATACCGGTAGCACGTAAGGCTCACAGCCACATGTGTGTGTCTCACAGTGTACGAAGGCGTGCGCGACTAACCTCCCTTTTATTACGGCACGTCTGTCGCATTAATACTAGTCGCTAGAGGAATAGAAACAAAGACCCTGGTTCATTGTCATCACCACACCAAAACCAGAACCATAACGAACACACATTCTTCGTCTTGGCATATGATATGCTGCGCCCGACGGCTCCTCATACCGGTATGACCCGTGGGGCCGCATGAACCGCGGAGGGGGGAGGGTATTTACCTGGGATACGATCTTTTTGGTGTTCGTTGATTAGGGGCTGCCAAACTTATTAGCCCTACCCGCAATTTCCAGCCCTCTTAGCTTTCCTCTATTTCCGGTAACCTACGGTCAGGGTCAGTGTTTCCGCGGCTCAGTTTATCTAATCCCCCTTCTCCCTCCCTCACATCCCGCCCCCTTCCCTACGCACCCCCTCCCCCCCTCCTCAATGTGCTCGAATCGCTCAAACTCCCCATACGGACGCATCCCAAGCACACATGCATGAACGCGGTGCATACACTCATACCTAACATACACGCACGCGCGCGTGTCGCACACATCAACGCTCCTCTACTGCTGTCCTTGTGGCTGTTGCTGCAGCGCCGGTGGCAGCGGCAGCGACAGCGGCGGCTCCATGTACAACGAACCAGCGCCATCCTCGGAGGAAGACACGAACGACTCAATTGTCAGGCCGCTGCTGTGACGGGGCTGCAGCAGGGTAAATAAGGCATCTGCCGCCGGAACAGCAGCACCCTGAAAGGCCGTGACAGGAGCCGCAGCGGAGGCTACGGGGGGCTTCCCTGCATGTCCCGCTGATCCTGCCAGGCTGCCGCTGCTGCTGTGCAGGCTGCTGTTGCCTGATAACGATGACTCGACGCCGGAGCGGGTCCCATATGCCTCCTGATGAGCCGTCACCGTCGCAGCCGCTGCCGGCCCAGCAGTTGTAACAACAGGGGCGCCGGTGGTTGCGGTGGACGTTGTAGCATCCATGTTATCGCCGGCAAAGTTCTCTACTTGTTGCGGTTCGATGTAGAGCTGTTGCTGTTGCGGCGACAGCGGCATCGGCGGTAGCAGCGACGCTGAGGACGAAGGCTCGTCTAGGTAGGGCTGCGGCGGCTCGTAAGAACCGGGGTCAGTCGTCGCGGTGGCACCAGCAGCAGGAACGGCTGCTTCTCCTAGCATCATCACGCCGTCAGCAGGAGCCAGCAACGCCGCCGCTGTAGGCGTTACAAGCTCGGCAGTCCCAGAAGGGCTCATTGCGACTGCCGGTCCGAAGACCTGCATGGGCGCTAGAGCCGCCGCAGGCAGGGTGGAAGGCAGCAGCGATGGTGATGCATGGTTGCCCGAAGACTGTGCCAGAGCTGAGGATGGTGGCGGCGATAGTAGCATGGAAGGAGATGCCTGCGGGTACCCCTGGTACTGCTGCTGCTGCTGCTGTTGAGGTTGTTGTTGTTGTTGTGAGTACGGCAGGAGACCGCCCGGCAAGGACGCCGAGCCGGCAGCCGTTATTGCCGCTGCTGACATGACCGAATTTGCCGCGGAGGACTCCAAGGACAGCCTCTGCAGTGCAGCAGCAGCGGCAGTCATTCCCATCGCACAGTCCGCCGCCACCTCGTCCTGGCCCTCCTCGCCCTCCTGCAGTAACGCTGCTGTCGCTGCAGAGGACTCGCCAAACGTCGGATTAGGCATCCCCGCAGTCGCTGCTTCTGCAGGGTGGCCTGCCGCCGTCGCTGCTGCAGCTGCTGCGGTTACCGTCGCCGTTGCCGTGCTTCGTACGAATCCCCAGGTGCGTTCCAGCTGCAGCGCCTCCGCCTCCGCCGCCGCAACCTCCGCCTGCAGCGACCCGGCCTCCTCGTACAGCTCCGCAGCGGCCGCCTCCTCCAGGGCTGCATGGCTGAGCTGCAGGCAAAACACAAGGTACCTGCACAACATGGGGACATCAAGAAGGCGACAGCGGTCCTTTTTTTAGGTTTCTGTGTTACCAGTAACCACCGGCCCACTGTCAATCCACGGGAAACAGGTTCGATAGACCTTTGATGCGGGATGAAACGCGCCCCGCACCTCACCCGGGGGGAGGCACCCCAGACCCCACTTCTCTCAATCCCCACCTGTGGTGTGCCTCCGCCGCCTGCCGCTGTGCCTCCCCCAGCATGCCCCGCAGCTCCTGCAGCTCCGAGGCCTTGCTGCCCTCCGCGGCCGCCAGCTCGGACAGCGCAGCCGAGTGGCGGGCCAGCTGGGCAGCAGCGGACTCAGCCTGGGGGGAAGGGGAGTGAGTAGGTGGGAGGAACGGGCAAGGGAAAAGGGTTGTTGCACTTGTTAGGGGTGTGAGTGTCGATTGAATACGGACGTCGGAATGTCTTTTCTGGGTAATAGCAAACAAGGCCATCCGGCCCTTGGCCCACACGCCGCACGCCTCTATATGCCAGGTCCGCCCCCACGTCTGAACCCGGCAGGGATTGGCCGCCACCTAGAAGGCTTGTAGCAGCCCCCTACCTAACTGCCTGCCTGTCTGTGGAAACCCATGCAAATTCCATGCAAACCCTCACCTGCAGCGTGAGCGCCTTGAGCTCCCCCGACAGCCGAGCAGCCTCGCGGAAGTCCTGTGGGTGTTGTGTGTTGTGTCCCAACACGCAAACAGCGGGGCAGCGAGGACGTTACAACCATCCTAACGAATGTTAAGCTGTTAAAGCAAGGTTCGGGTCGGGACACTTCCAAGCCCCCACAGCACAGCCCATAATACACAGCAGCAACTATCCCTTAGAGGTTATATACCTTGTTCGCCGCCGCCGCCCGCTTAGCCGCCTCCAGCTCCGGCATGGTCCGCTGCAGCCCCGCCAACGCCTCCTGCGCAGCAGCCCTCTCCGCCGCCAGCCGCCCACGCTGCTCCGAAATCCGTGCCAGATCCGCGCCCACATCCGCAATCACCCTCTCAAGCCCCCTGAGCTCCTCCCGAGCAGCATCGTCGGCCTGCGCCAGCGCCCGCCGCTGCTCCTGGCTTGCAGCCGCCGCCGCGACCCGGGCAACCAGGCCCTCAGCCTCGGCTCGCATGGCTGCGGCTGCGGCCCCCAGGGCGGTCGCCTGCTGCCGGAGCTGTGCCTGGTGGTCGTCCACGGCTGCGGAGCGGGCTGCGGCCTGGCGCTCGCTCTCCTGCATGCATGGAGTTGTAGGGAAGCGGTGTTGGAACACAGCTTAGGGCTTCAGGGAACTCCTTGAACGGAACTGGAAGCTACTACGGAAACACAGGTGCGGGTTCCATTTGCTCTGTTGCATCTCTTTGCTGTATCCCCAAACCTCGGCCGCCCTCCAGCCCTTGGGCCCCACCTGCAGCGCCTGCTCCTGCCCCGCCACCTGCGCCTCTTCCGCCTCCAACAGGCCCCGAGCCTCCGCCAGGGAGGCGAGATCTCCGTCGTACGCCGCCGCATGCTGCCGTACAATCTCCGCCGCCACCGCCACCGCGGCCTCGGCCTCTTCCAGCGCCGCTTCCTTGGCGGCCAGCAGCGCTCGCAGCGACGCTACCTCCGCCTGAGGATGGGAGAGCCAACGAGGGGCATGGCGCCACGAGGACGTCAACCAACAGTCCGTAATCGTATCTATAACCCCACCCTGACCTGGCCTTCACACAAGCGCATATGCAAAGCAGTGACGTCCGTGCCAGCTATGCAGCCATGCAATGATGCAGCGCACGCACCTGCAGCGCATCCCTGGCGGCTGCCCGCCGGCCTCGCTCCGCCTCCGCGGGTGCAGTGGCGGCGGCTACGCGTGCCTCCACCCCGGCGGCCGCATCCGCCAGCTGCGAACGCCGCTCCTCCAGGGCTGAGCGGCGCTGAGGAGGCGTATAGGTTTGAGCATGTGGGTTAACAAGGGAGGGTGCCAGCAGTACAGGTAACTGCTTTACCATGTGAATTGGACGACAGAAACCATCCGTTGCCCTTATGCCTGAAACTATCTCAACCCAAGGTTGCTTTCAGAGTTTTCCATCCGCTGCCCGCCTACCTGCGCCAGTGTGTCCTGTGCCGCCCGGTGCAGCATGGCGGCTGCCTGCGCCTCCCTGCTGGCCTGGGAGGCCAGAGCCGCAGCCATCTGCTGCTGGCCGGCCTGGGGTGGGAGGCAAGCGACAAGCGACAGGGGCGGTATTCCAACGTATACCGATAATCGTCATGGAGAATACCAACTTCTACTAGAGGAGAGTACAGGGCCGATGGCAGCCAGCCTACCTATCATTGCGGTTTACGTAATACGGTAGACGGACCAACCCACAGCTGACACATTGAGTCTGGGCGGCCCTCGCTTCCCTCCATGCCGTACCTGCAAGCGAGCCAGATACGCCCCGGTAACCCGCCACGCCTCTGCCTGGCGACCTAGCACCTCCAACCGCAACGATGCAGCCTGCTGCAGTGCAGTACAGAGCTGTACGGACTGCTCCTCAAGCTGTGTACGACGGTACGACAGCTGCTTGAGCTGCTCGTCCAACGCGGCCGCGGTTTCAAAGTCCTCGGACTCCACAGCAGCGGCTTGGTTGGCCTCTAGCTGGATAACGTCTGCATGTTGGAAACGCAGGGCCGTAATGTCAGACATGTGCGCTAGTTAAGAGACCTGTCCCTACGTAAGTAACTAGGGAACGGTAAGCCTATGAGCCCTTGCCGTCGCCCTTGGCACAATCGCGCTATCACTGTTGCCCCCCCCTAAGTCCTGACCCTCACAATCAAACCCTACTTACTCGACACCACGTCCGCCAGTGCCGCCTTCACAGCACGTTGCTGCTGCTGCACGCCTGCCTCTGCCTTGTGCACCTGCGACAGCACTGCACCCAGCTCCGAAACCACATCCCGCGCGCGCTGCTCCGCGGCTGTACGACAGGCGTCCACAGGGCCCGTGACGCCATCGAGGAACGCCTCTAGGTCTTCCGTACGGGGAAGCGCCGTAACAGAGGGCAGCATTGCAACGGCGCTAGCTGTCGCCATGCTACCGCCCATGCTGCTGCCTGGGACGCCGCCACCACGAGAGGAGATGCTGCGGGCGGCTGCACCGCCCATGGAGGTCGAATACATGGAATCGGAGGAGGCAGCCGCAGCATACGCGGGTGCATGCACGGTCGCGGTCGTTGCGGCAGTTGTGGGTGCTGCTGCGCTGGGGTTGGAGTAGGGTTGCACTGGCAAGGGTGCCGTGACAATCGCCGTGGATGCGCGCGATTGTACGGCAATGCCTGATGCCGCCAATGCCGGTGCGACAGCGCCAACGGCACCGCCGCCGCCAGCTCCGTCGGTAGAGAACGCATGCGCGGCACCCCGCATGAAGGCGGAAGAACCGTACGGCAAGGGCGATGTGGGTACGGCAGCCGGCGGAGGTGACATCAGGGAACTAGATGCCGCTGCAGCTACAGTGGCAGCAGCGGTGGTGGCGTACGGTGCAGCAGCATGGAAGGACGCCGCTGCACCGCTAACAGAATGCGTGATAGATCGCGCTGTGTGCAGTTGCATGTTGTCGGCTTCGCCGTACGACCCGGCGGGGTTTGCGCTCGTGCCTGCGCTGCCGCTGAGGTAACCCGATGCGGTTGCTGGCAAACGAATGCCGTAGGGCGCTTGGCGGTTAAGGTCGTGAGACATGGATGCCTGCAAGCGAAGCAGAGCGCGTTAGTTATCATGCATACAAACAACACATCTCCCGACTGAGTGCTTTGTACTACACCATACAAGGCCACGGAGAACATTGGTTCAGGAGAGGAGTATGACTCCCAGCAATTGCCACCGACAAAGGGCAGAGCGTTCATGGAAAAGCCCTACGGCCCCTACCAACATCAAACGGGCGTTCCACAACCTCCGCCTCCTACCTGAGGCGTCAATCCCACCCGGGCCGTATACCCGGCAGCAGCGAGCCCCCCCATGGGTGGAGTCGTGGCCCCAGTCGGGTGCCCGGACGGGGCGGGCTGACTGCCTGAGGCCGCCACATGCGAGCGATGTGGCTGTTGCTGCTCCGATGGCGCAAGCCGGTGCAGGAGCTGCTGCTGCTGCTGCGCTTGCAGCAGATGCTGCGGCTGGTATGGCTGCCCGGGGCTCATCATCTGCTGGTGCTGCAGCTGCTGCTCGCTATGCTGCAGCTGTTGATGTTGGTACCCTGCAGGGTATTGCTGTTGCGGTTGCTGCTGTTGCTGGTAAGGCAGAGGCGATTGCGCATGCGGATCGTGATGCAAGTACTGCTGCTGCTGTTGCTGCTCGCTTGGCTGCTGCCATTGGGCTGCGCCCGCCTGTTGCTGCGACTGCAGAGTCATGAAGCTCGTATTACCGTTTGCGACTGGTACGGCACCGTCCTGGTATGCATACTGCACCTGCTGGCCTTGTTGGGATTGAGCGCTTACGTCTGGTGCCTGTGGCGGCTGCTGTGAGTAGTAGCCGGGTTGTTGCTGCTGGTGGTGGTGTGATGAGGAAGTCTGAGCAGTGCCAGGTCGGCTGTACGGCTGAACCGCCTCGAGCGCAGGTACGGAGGTTACAGCAGCACCTGCAGCACTGGGAGGAGGAACATGCATGGCAGACTCGCGCTGCTGGTAGGACTGCTGGGGCATGGCCTGCTGCTGTGGCTGCGGCTGCTGTTGTTGGCCGCTTCCCGGTCGCCGTTGGCGGTGCTCCTGCAATGTCCAATCCGCAACATACTGTTGCTGCGCGCCGGCGCTGTCTTGTCTGCGATGAGACCCACCGCTAGGTGGATGTTGTTGTTGCTGCTGCCATGCAGGCTGACCGGTCCCAGCGTCGGCCGCGTTGCCACACCCTAGCTTCACCGAGCTCGTCTTCTTCTTCCGGAAGGGCGCAGGATAAGCCGTGCCGGCAACGGGAGCTGCAGCCGCGTACGACTGCTCTTGTGTCGCGTACGACTGCTCCTGGCCGGACGTGCTTGCTGCATGCATGGGCTGCTGCTGGAGCTGTGATTCCGAAGACATGTCAGTGCTCTGAGCGCTGCCGCCGGCGGCTCTGGAATTGTATCCAAGCTCCTGCTGCTGTTGCTGCTGCTGCTCCTGCAGGTATTGCTGCATGTGCTGTTGTTGCTGCTGTTGGTATTGCCAGTGTTGCTGCTGCTGTTGGTGATGCTGCTGCTCTTGCATGGAGGGCTGCTCCTGGGGTTGCTGCCAGCTTTGTTGTTGTTGTTGCTGCTGCTGCTGCTGGTAGTGCTGCTGATGGCTTTGACCAGATGCACTGTCACGAGCAGGGGCACCCACCGCCGCAGCCATATCGGGGCCTGCGTGGTGAAGTGAGACACGGTGAAATTCGACACGGTGAGGGATCCCGGGCAAAGCAGCTAGTGAGCAACAGAAAACTATAGCAAAAGAGACCCGGATGCCTAGCAAGACCCACTGAGCAGACGCAACCGGACCTCACCCTGTGGCATAGCGGCCGCGCCGTACGCTCGCAACGACGCTTGGCTGCTCGAGTGCATCAGCGCCGGCGTCGAGTGACCCGCGGGTCGGAAGCCGTACGGTGCTGCACGCTGACTAGGACCAGGCGCACCACGGCCCGCTCCTAATGCAGCTGCCTCTACAGCCGCGCCAGCTGCGACACCTCCCAACGGTTGCTGCGGCTGTTGCTGGAACGCAGCAGAGGGGTCAGACTCCTGCTGTTGGCGTGAAGCATCGGATGCTGCTGCTTGGCCTGGCTGCGCACTCGCGTGTGCTTCGTCCTCTGCTACAATGTCCAGCCCACTGCATAGGACACGAGAAAGCAGGGTACTACATCAGATACGGGAAGCGGGGCATGCCTGGTTCTGCGTTGTTGCAGTGGGTGAAGCGACTACCGGTATCACTCCCATGCGCGCATACCAAACCAGTTTAACGGACCCGACCCAGACGGATCCGATCTGACCCAGATGGGCCCCATGCGACCCAGATAGGACAGCCTCACAGCAATTAAGCAGCAACCCCTCTCGCACTGCCCGCCTTGGTAACGCAACTCAAAACCCACATGAGCCATGACAGCCTCACGCCCCGTCCCTCGGCCCACACCTGAATAGATCGTCTTCCCCACCGCCAACCTCAGCCCCGGGAGTCTCCGCCTGCGGTCCAGGGGCTTGCTGCTGTAATGGAAGCCCCTGCGGCCCCATACCTAGGTGATGCGAAGCATGACTTGCAGCTGACCTGCTGGCCTCTGCACTGTACGCGGTTGGCGTCGCCTGGGCAGACGCATAGGCGGATGACGGGGTCGCCTGCTGCTGCTGGCTGTAACCTTGGGACGGTTCAAGCTGCTGGGAAGGTTGCTGTTGCTGTAGCTGCTGCTGCTCTACCAGCAATTGTTGGCGTGCCAAGAGCAGCTGCTGTTGACGTAACTGGGCCTGTTGTTGCTGCTGCTGCAAGTGCTCTTGCTGCGCTTGCCACTGCTGCTGCTGCTCTTGCTGCAGCCTCTGTTGCTGCTGCCATTGTTGTTGCTGCTGCCACTGCTCCTGCTGGAGCCGTTGCTGTTCCTGCTGCTGCTGCTGCCATTGCTGCTGCAGGTAGTGCTCCGACGGCCCGCCGTTAGCCGAACCGACGGAAGCAGTGTAACGCAAACCGGGCTGCTGCTGCTGCTGCTGTCCCAGTTGCTGCCTCTGCAAGGCTGCCCGCTGCTGTTCTGCCCGCTGGTGCTCGATGAACTGTTGGTGCTTCTCCAACAGAGCCTGCTGCTTTTGGGCCAACACCGCACGTTCCTGCTCCGATAGGTACATGTAGGAGGGATGAGTGCTATCAGACGAACGCTCGGCCTCCTCCACTTGCTGCTGCTGCTGGTAATACTGTTGCTGCGCAAACTGTTGCTGCTGGTGATGCTGTTGGGCTGCGATGTTTATGCGACGGAGGCTCCCATGCGGTGGCACAGACTGGCTGCCACTGCCGCTTGTGAAGCCATCCTGGCGTGAGAAGAGCGCCACAGCCTGCTGCACCCTGCCGGTGGTGTTGGGAGCTCGAGGAGAGGAGGTGGCGGTGCCGGCGCGGGCGACAGAGCCGGTGCTGGTGGTCGGCGCGAGAGGAGTGGTTACCCGGGGCTCTGCGAACGGGCGTGGGGTGCGGGAATGTGCAGGGGCGTTTGTCAAACGGTGAGTACGGCAAAGGTCGATTTGATTTGGGTTGCAGGCAGGGTTACGCATTCCCTGAGCCCGGCACCTACTTCCAGCATACAAGCGGGCACAAGGAGTGTCACCGAGCGTGCGACCCAGATGAGGTAAACCGGTAAGTTGGTGTTCTCTAGACACGTCGCGTACTCCGTCGTACCTGGCTTCGGTGCGGCGTCCGCATTAGCGACCACGACGTCCGCCAATTCTCTGAACTCATCGTCGAGGTCTCCAATTTGGCTGCAAAGTAGGTTACAAGGACAGGTAGGGGAGGGGCTGAACATAGAGGATGCGGGTACGCAGGGGTACAAAATGGGCGGAGGCCGGATAATAAGCCGCGAAGATAGAGGCATACGCGTAAGGTTGATATGCGCTGGCTGCTGGACTGCATTCCTTTCACACATTCGGCATTAACTCACAAGCTCCACGCTTCCTGATCAGCCGGTGGCAGTGACGCTGTTGACTCCTTCAGCTGTTGCACTGCATGTCACATTGTTGTAGGTGAGCCTTGGTCAGCGGGGCCTGCGCTGACCATCACTCAACGCTTACCTAAGCGCTGTATCTCGTTCAGGAGAGGAAACGCCTTCAGGTCTCCCGGACTTAATCCACGCAGCCTACGTAGCGCCTCTTGGGCTTGCTGCAGGCATTCGCCAACGCTGAGCTGCGGAGCACGACGTTGGGGCGCTGCTGCCGGTTGAGGCTTGCGAGCAGGAGCTGTCTGTTTCTTCTTTTTAAACATTATTACGATCTTTGCATGACGATGTGACTAGGAAAATGGTATCATCTCACAACTAGTTAAATTAAAGCTAATGCTTTGTTTGCCATATTGCGCGCTGAAGCATGGACCAAGGAGGAAGATCACAAACCAGGTAGCAAGTATGCAAGAGCAAAACACATAAGAGGTGGAAGACCAGCTTTGTCGTACTGGTCAGCTGCTGCCAATATGCCCTTGGGTTCAGTATTGCATACGCATGCATTAAAGTATGCTACAAGGTTAGCCACCAGAATAATCTACCACAAATCATATAGTAATACTGGAATAGATTGCAATTTCCAACTATCTCCAGCCAGGGTTGTGGGGGACTGGGGGTACCTCTACCCCGTGTAGCAGTTACAACCTTTGGACGTAGCATCACAACAAGGTTAACCTACTAATAGCTGTGGCTCATCCAGGCGATACCTTTGGCTATACGCGGACAGTGGCGAGCCCATACAAATACTAGAAAGTGAGTTGGTGACGTCCTGATTCCGTATATGTAATTTCCCTATCATGCATCCCCCAGTAATATATCGTAAGCATCAGTTGTCGTCTCTTGCAGGTTTAGCAGCACCGTATCGGTAATGCGCCGGGCAAGCAGCAAGCGCTGACACGTCATAGTTCGCCGCAGCCCTGTGCTGTGGGCTATGCATCACCAGCAGCCAAACTAAGCGAAATTGGGGGCTGATGTCTTCGGAAACCACGCCGCTGCGGCCACATCCTTCACCATCCGATTCCGCAGCAGCACCCGAAAGCGGCCCCCAAAGCGCGTTATCGCCCTTGTCGTCATCGCTATCCAGGGCATTTGGATCTTCCGGTCTCCCTGCGTGGCTTCTGCGACACGAGGAGCAACAGCAACAACAGCATGATGGCAGTCCTTCGGCCCATGAGCAACATGACGATGTTGACAGCTTACGACGGCAGACCCCTCCTCCACTTTCGCAACCTTTGCAACACCCAGGCTCCACAACCTCGACAACGCTAACTCCCGAGGCCGCCCACAACCAGCCCCTGCGACCTCCCAGGCCCAGTCCGCTCCCAACTCCCTTCCCGCACCCACAACCGTCATCAACGCGGCCGCCGTTATCACCGGCACCAACCTCACTGTCAACACCTCCGTCCCACTCACAGCCCCCGTCCCCATCTCCATCGGCTCGCACGCCTCCTCCTCCCATGCCCCCATGCAAACCCTGTACCCCCTCCTCAGAGGCCGCTTCCTCTCCCTCCCTACAAAAGCCGCAGCAGCAGCCAGAGCAGCACCAACTCCCCACAACCAGCACAAGTGAACCCCAGGCCCCTTCACTGCATGCGGGGACGCCCAGCCCATCCCCAGCTGCGGCAGTGGTGGCGACAACAGCAACGCCGCCCAGGACCGCCCCCTCGCATCAAGCATGGGCCATGGCGTCATCTCCGGGGCAGCCTGGTGGGATGCCGCTTCCGGGTTATGCCGGCGAGGAGGGGGCAACCGGTACTGTTGCTGGCGCCGCCGCCGCAGGAGCAGCAGGTGCGGCCGATGCATGTTGCATCACACCGCCGCCGCCGCCGTTGCGTGGTCGCAGCGGCGTCCCGCGTGTGACGAGCATCAGTGAGATTGAGCCGGTGGTTGAGGTGAGAGGAAGCTGGCGGTCGGTTGAGGAAGGAGAAGAGAGGGGGGCTAGAGAAGATGGGCTGCATGAGGTGTTGGAGAAGGTCGGTACACTCTTGTGTGACACTTTGAGGAGTCGGCGACTCCACACAAACCCGCCCTACCGAACAATGTTGGTCCACACCATTGAACCCCTTCCTGGTGCCGTACCTACTCATTGTGCCTCTCCCTGACCCTGACCAGCACTAGTCTGCTGCTCTATCACCCCCGCTTTAGCTCAGCTTCTCAACCCTGCTTTTCGCAGTCTGAGGAGGCCCGCTCCCGCCCGGGGAGTAGCCTGCTGACGCGGGCCTTCATGGGAATGGGCGGCGGCAGCAGCGGTGGAGGCTTGGATCGGCCCCGTGTCTACCGAGTGAGGAGCCAAAACAGTGAGACAACCATTTTGGATAGCACCTTCTAGTCGTGGGTATTAAGTGGGTATAAGACATGTTGCGCGTGTGTGTTGTGGGTTTAATGTTGTGGTTCCCTTTGTGTAGGCAGCCATGATGACGTCACGGTCGTGCTGGAGGGGGCCGAAGACGACGGCACTGCTGCTGCTGCTGGCGGCGGGGGCGGCAGCGGAAGCCTTCGGACCGGTCGCTTCTTCGGTTCCGGCGGCGGCGGTGGCAGCGGGCTCAACCGCAGCAGTAGCAGCAGCTACCATTCCCCCTTTGGTGGCAGTAGCAGCTTGCCAGCCAATGGCGGCGGCGGTGGCGGTGCTGGGGTTCTGGGTCCCAGCGTAACGACCCCTGGGTCGCTCTTGAGCAGTCCGTTGCTGGGCGGGTTGTTTGGGGCTAGGACGAGTGGAGGCGGAGGCGGTGGAGGCGGGTCGTCCACGCGCGGGGGTACCTGGTTCACAACGCCTGACAGCAGCGTGCATGGTGGGGACACGCCATCGTATAGGTGAGGGTGTGAAAGACAGTGTCTGAGGTGGACTAGTTGAGGTCTTCTCATGCCTGTAGGGGTGGTCGCCGGCATCCATGTCCGCAGCATCCGCAGCACTCACATGACTGATAGTGCACGGCTGCATAAAGGCATGTAACGCATCTTAATAACCGTTAAGGTGGCGCCAGTGCGATGCAGATGGCAATGCATGAGACAGGCATCATTAACAACCACTGCCTCTTGCTTGCCTTCTGTTCCACCACTGCTGCTGTCTCAGGTACCCAGCTACCTCGCCTTCACTGCAGCCGCCCTCTCCGGCGTTTGAGGGCCTTCCCCTGACACGGTCCTCTCGAATCACCAACGCCTCGGCTGGATCCATCCTCACAAAAGCAACCGGCGTCCTGAACACCCCCATGCGGAAGGCGACCAGTTTCAACAACGTTGGACCCATGGGTCAGTTCACCACGCGTTCTTCATGCTCCGGGGCCGCACCGGCTGCTGCTGCTGGTGGTGGCAGTGGTGCACGCCGCAGTGTTAACGGCGGCAGCGGTGGCAGCAGCGGTGGTGGCGGCGGCGGAGCCAGCAGCAGCCTGGGGAGTTGGATGCGCGGTGCGCTCCCGGGTTTGGTAGTTGGAGGTGGCGGCGGCCGTGACGCCGCGGGTGACGGGGATGAGGGTGGTCCCAGCGGAACGGCTTCAAGGCGGCCTTCGGAGCCGGACTTGGCGGATCTGGCGGTCCTTGCCAGCAGCCTGCCTGCTAGTCTTGGTGAGTGCTGGTAGTGGGCTTATGTTAAGGTATGCTGCTTGATGGTATAATTGTTAAGCACCTGAGCTGTGCCCAGTGGGCGTTAGCCATGGTTTAGCTAGCGAACGGGGGCTGATGATAGAATGACCTTGACGAACGGCGCTGCTTGCCTTTCTACCGACCCATGGGTCACAGGCACCTGGAGCCTGCCCCGCAGCATTGCCCTGGCCTCCAGCCCTCGCAGTGGCAACCAAAGCCTCAGCCGCTGTCTCAGTCGAGCCAACAGCATTGCTAGTATCACCGTGAACGGCTCCGGCTCTGCAACCGCTGCCGCTGCTGGTGTTGGAGTTGCCATGACTCCTAATGGCGCCGCCGCCGGCAACGGCAACGGTGGAGGAGGACCCATGGGTCCGTCGGCCTACCCCATCTGCCTCATTTGCCTGGACGTGTTGACGCCTGAGGAGTTTGAAGCCGGAGACGCGATGCAGCTGGCGTGTGCATGCCGAGGGGAGGTTGCAATGAGGCACCGCAAATGTGCCATTGAGTGGAGCCATGTGAGTGTGGGGTTGTAGGCAGGGGTTAGGGTGTAGCACCGGGAGTTGCGGAAGAGGCATGAAACCTAAAACTGCAGGTATTGATACAGCTCGGTCCCTGGTCCAGCAGTACGACATGGGCACGGAGTTTAGACCCTCAGTTTCATGCTGAGCCTAGCAAGTCCACTCTAACCTCATCACCTAAGCAGGCCATTCCCCAGGCACCTTGTTCTTGAACCCTCCACCTCCCTGTCTGCCCCCTGTTATAACTTGACTTCAACCCGTCACCACCCTCAGCACAAGGGCGACGTGGTTTGCGACATCTGCAAGCAGCCCATAACCAACCTGCCGCCCATACCCGAGGAGGTGCTCGCAGCACGCGAGGCCGCGCGCCGCCGTCGCCAGCCCGCCTTCAACACCGCCTCCGAACCCAACGTCGCGGACTACACCTTTGACTGCATCCGAGCCATCTGGATCACCATGATCGTGTGTGTGCTGTTTTTCGACCTATCCGTGGAGCAATCTTTCCTTGCTGGGTTGCTGGTCGGCGCGTTGTTCACACTGTTCAGCATGTCTGTGGCCGCATGTGCGCGACGCGCGCGGGCGCGTACGGCGGCTAGGGCGGTGGAACGTGCGGCTGCGGAGTCGAGGGCGCAGGAGCAGCAGCAGCGGCGGCGGCGGCAGCAGGGGCAGGAGCAGCAGGGGTTGGCGGAGCCGTTGCTGGCGGCGGAAGACAGAGTATAGGGAGGTATAGGGTATAGGGAGGTGTAGGGTAGGGAAAGGCTGAGGCCGAGGCGTCGGGAGGAGCCCAGGTAAAGGCGGATAGTTGTGGGTGGGTATGTTGCATGTTGCGGGTGGAGTTGCGCCTGCTTGGCCAGCTCTTTCCTTTTCGGACAATCCTGATTAGACCGCTGATGAGTGGCACAATGCACGAAGGCTTGCGTTGGGTCCCGTCTGTAGATACCCGCCTGTAATATTGGCGGTAGCAGATATGGGGTTACCGGTACGGTCGGGTGCTTGAGTTGTGTTTTGTTGCCTAATGGATACATGCCATGGAAGTGCCAGGGAATAGATCCAAGGCGATCCTAGATGCATGCGGATCTTGCTCGTACAGTTTAGGTGTTAGTAGCAGTCTGTGTATCACTCGATTGCCGTATTGCGCTTACTGCGGTTACTGGATTCGTCGTGTTTGCCCTTTGTCAGCGTTGCAGCTTGCAGCCGTACTTTTAGCTAATGTTTTCTGTTCTTTCCTTCACTTGATGGCAGGTGTGGGTGTTGGATGGCGATTGGAGCCAAATGAGTGCGAACGGAGTGGAATTGGCAAAAGACATGCCGATGCAGTGAAGCAGTGCCTCATGTAGAGTGTTGATTGTTGGGTGAGGGAGGGTGAGGTTGCATGCACCGTTGAGGGCTTCTGACCCGTGCCCAGTAACGGCCGTATGCTACTTCCCTGTATCATGGAAGCGTTGCAGACCTTGCAGTGCACTGGGCAAATGTTCGGCTAATCTGGGCTGTTGCAAGGCCTGCCCCGGCTGCAAGCCCTTAGTGCACTTGGAAGGTCCTAGCCGCATGCTGATCTAGCTTAACGGCTTATCTTAATAGGATACTTTCCGCAGCATAACGCTAGTATACTCTCCTTCCGTGCAGCTCCCTGATCCTTGCTCCTGCAGAATGTTCCCCCGTGCCCACCTAGCTCAACCGCTTAAGCCCCTATCGACCCTAGGGGCAAGACGCCATGCTTGAGACATTTATGAGTATGTAGCAATGTTCATAGCTTATGCAATTCGATATAACACAACAACAAAACAATCTAATAGTCTAACAACGCCCTAGTGTTAATTTGGTCAGGTCAACATTTCACCCTCGTCGACGGGCAAGTCACGTTTTTTTTAGCACAAAGTAGACAGAATGCATATCTGGCTTCTATTAGTGCTTGTAGTGCTTGCCGAAGGACAGGAGCACCGCCCCCCAATGGATGCGAGGCTGGCAGAGGGGTATTTTCCGAACGTCAGGCTTTGCCTACGTAAGGGCCCTACAACCTGCTGCGGCGCAAGCTGCAAAGGCCGAAAAGCAGAATTGGGGGAGGAACAAACGGTGCTGCAACTAGAAGAAGGACAGGGGAAATGTTTGGACGATCATGGCCGCGCTGCTACGGCTGAAACGCCAAAGAGCGCCGCCAGGAGTACAGAGGCATCAGAACAGCCCAAATGCAGAAACCAGCGTATGGAGCAGCTACTGTTGAGGGTGTCAAGACGGGCATGTGGACCGAGGAAGACTTTCTGTTGCGGGGCAGAGGATGCCCGAGCAAAAACCAACTCTATGGATAAGAGTAAAGATGTATGCAGCATAACGACCACTCCCTCGGAGGCGAGCACTCAGACCACACTGTCATGGCGGGCAGAACTCACAAAGCGACGTCAGAGCGAGCCAAAGGACGCTAATGCAACTCCCTCGTATGATAAAGACTCCCCAGGAAGGGCCAGGCGAGGCGAAGCGGTAAAAGTAAGCGGACAACCGCATGGACCCCCAGACGCGGCACCCAACAGCACAGTTCCCGAATCAGGTGCCCCCAATGCAGAACGGAAACCAATCTCTCGCTGGATACCATGGTCAGGAAGCAAGAAGTGCAAAAGGCTAGACAACCCACAGTCGAAGCCCCCATCCATCAGCGTGCAACACCGTCTCTATCAATCCGTGATAGGAGGCACGATCTCTGCATGCTCGTGGATGCGTAGACGTGTCCTAGACTCAGCAATGTTCATACTCTATGCGGTTGCGTTTACCACATGGGCAAGCTGCGGCTTAACCGCTGCAGTTGGCACAGCACGTCTCGCTTACACCGTGACGCGGTCCGTATGCAGATACCCCCGCAAACATAAGCGGAGAAGGCTTTCACGACTCATTCACTTCATCAACTGCCTGCAAACAGCAAGCTGCACTGCGCTGGCGTCGTTTATGCCGCTGGTCACAGTGGCATGGCTAAGCGTAATACCCCTGAAGACTACAGCTCTACTCCTCAGTACCGTCGGGCTCCTGTACCACCGAAGGCTAGCCTTACAACAGGCTACCCTCCAATATGTAACGTTGGTGAACGTGGTAGCACACACCCTAATACAGACACTCCAACAATCGCTGACATGGACTTACCAAAGACCACAACTTGCCCTCACGATAATCATAGCACTAGCAACACAGCTCTATTCAGTTCCAAACCCATCATACGCGTGTGTCATTCAAGCGACGAGCCTTACCTGCATCATGGGACCACTAATGGAAAACTGGATCCGCTGTAACCCTCAACAAGCCCTAATCGTACCCATCTGTACGACAATGTGCATAGGTGTACTGCGCAATGAGCCGTGCACGGCACTGCTCCTCACATTCGCTCCCACCCTCCTTGGCAGTTACGGCGCCACCCCCGCCCTCACGCTCGAAATGACCCTTATGTTAGGCCTCGGCGCGGCAATGGGCTGCACGCAGAAACCCACACTGGAAAACGTCGCACTCATAGCCATTCTCCCATGGATTATGACGCAAAGCCTGCGACTCACGACACCCAGCATGCGAAATACCCAAACCAACCCGCCACGACGTGCAAAAAGTACCTCAGACACAGCTCCGGAACATGACCACACCAAGCTGGGAGGTGACGATGAAAACACCGAAACAGCGCGCCCTACGCCAAGCAACGAACACAACCGAGCTACGTGGCCCCCACGAACGCACGAAAGTGAAGGCCCGCCATCTTTTCACGAAAAGCAGTACCGTCAATTCTGCATGATACATGCCATTAACAATCTCGTAGGCTGGCGGTTTCTAGACTACGCGCACGTTGCACGGTACTGTGAGACCATGCGGAGACACATACAAACAACAGCAACACCACAGGCCCTAGCGACATGGGAGCACAGCTACGGGGGAGACGCAGGCAGCTACTCGACAATGACCTTGAACCACTACCTGCGACACAACATCCGACTAAATGGACACCAAAACGCACCACTACCGTCCCCATACCTGGCTTCCTACTACACAGGCGTCACCCTTCGCACCAACACCAGACTGAGAGATGCGATAGCCCAGTTACCAGAGGAAGCCAAGGACCTGGGCTTTATCGTACACCTCCCAAACCACGCCATCGCGGTAAAGAGATGCGGCAACAGCTGGTATCTCATAGACTCCATGCAGTCAGCCCCCGTCCGCCTAGGGGAAACATGGGAAAATCAAGACGGCGCTGTATACTACCTAAGGAATGCTGATGTTCTAACCCTCAACGTCATCCATGTTGCTATTCGGCATATCCAACCACCGCACAACTGGGCCCAACAACGCTGGGCAACCCAAGCTACCCACAATGAACCACCGCCCGCCCAACACAACCCTGCAATCCACATACCAGGAACAGTAACCCCAGAAGAAAATCCCTCAACAAGAACATACGCACAAGCCACTCGAGAAGGGCTAAACGTGGAACCCCGGGCCGCCCCCCCACGGAAGAAACCAAGATCGACCCACATGAACACAACCAGTATGCCCGCCAAAAGGAACGAGAGAAACACGAAACGGCCCAAGCCACACACCATCATGGAGGCATGGGCACGCGCAGCTAAAAGACAAGCGACAGCAACAGTGCCAGAACCAGCGCAAGTCCAGCCCACAGGAGAAACATTGGAGGAACTGAGAGCGAATACCCCAAACCCTAATCACCAGCAGGCAACAGCAACAGACAACATCGGGCCCCAAGCCGAAGACAATCATAACCCGCCCCGTCCCCCCAACGATACACGAATAAACACCCCGGGAAACCCAGAAAGCCCCATTTCACCCACGGGTACAACACCACCAAATGATACCACACAACCCCAAAGCCGACACAAGTACCTACACGTTGTCACCCACAACGTCAGAGGACTGAGCGCCAACCTACAAAACACCCTCTGCAACATGGAAGACTGGGACGCAGATATCCTCATCTTCACCGAAACGAAACTGGGAAACCGCACAAGATGGCTAATGCAAACCGTGAAGAAACACACCAAAGGGTACCGCACATATACAAGCAACAAGCCATGGGAAGGAAGATCGAGCGACCGGTCAGCAGGAGTACTCGTAGCGATCTCAGAAAGGTTTGGCAACCTCGGGACAACCACAATACACCAAACCCCGGTCAAGCTCCGTGGGTATGTCAGCCACTGTACCCTGGCCCCGCCGCGTAGCATCCCACTGCACATCATAGGGGTGTACTGCCCGGAAGACCTACATGTGCGGAAACTGATATATGAATACTGTACAGCTGCACTACGAGAGGCAGAAGCACGCAAGGAGCACCTCATATTAGGGGGCGACTATAACGCCGTCCTGCAACCCCAGGACAGAACAACTGGGACCAACGACACAGCCGACCGGCGACACCAAGAATTTGCCCAGCAAGCAGGCCTAGAGCCCTGCAACCCGCTCACGGGAGCCGCGCGCCCAGCCTCATATCGACAAATACATGAAGGAGTGACCAAACATGAAAGCCGCATCGACGACATCCTCATCAGCAAAACCTTATGCACAACAACACGAGCAGCAGACGCAGCAGGGCAAACAGGCGCCTACGAAACTGTCTCTACCCCAGGAGGCAGCTTCGACCATAACCCGGTCCATGCCAGGATTCCAATAAGCCTCCTGAGACTGTACGACAGCCCCGCAGCTACCGACCAAACAACCAATCAAGCCGCAAACCCGGAGGGGAACGCCTGGCAAAACGTCATCCTTCCCATTCCCGCCGCCACGATTCTGCGTGCTACAGCTCGCATGGCAGCAGAACTAACCACCTCCATCGCCAACCTTGAAGAGCAGATGTCGGGCGCTGTGATAGCCATAAACGCCGCCATTGCGAAGCTAGGGGAGGACACCCCAGCATGCCGAGCAGCCGACGTGACCACGGGTCTCCGAAGCCAGCCTGCATTAGCGGGAGTAGACATAGACAAGTTAGCCCAAACGTTTGAAAATGATATCCTGCAAAAGGCGCTAAGCATCCTTTACGAGGAATGTGAGAAGAAGCCCCCCCGCACAGGCAAGCGCCACCCCCCCAGGGTAATCACACGGCAGGTCAGGAAACTACATAAGGAACACAGGAGCCTTAAGCAGGAACTCGAGGCAAACCTGGGCCGCACTACGCAACAACACGACATGCCCCCCACAACAAGCCCCCACACGCCCGACACCCAGGAGACCAATCCAATCAACACCGGCAGCACGCACACCGAAACAGTAGCAACCCCAAACGACGCCAGTCCGAACACGGCAACCTCCACACCCAGTAGCATCGACATGCTAAAAGCAGCCATCAAAACAAAAGGAGACGAACTCCGTCGCCTCATTAAGGCAACTACCCGCAAGCAGGTAGACAAGGCAAAACAAAGATTCCAACGCCTCATGGCAACACAACCAAAGAAAGCTCGTAAAGCGATATTCAATAACTCGGACCAAGAAAGAGGCACCCCGGCGATCCTC